TAGACGACAAGACGAACCGCCTGCGACCTCATAAATTTTTCATCTGCGCCCTTTCGATTCGGATTCCGACCCTCACAATACCGGATTTATTGATATTAATCTATCCCCTTGTGCGGTAAGTGAAAAAGGAAAATCCGGTTTAAAAAAAACACGGCACGTGCCCGGCTTCGGCCCGACCGAAACGTTGATACAAAACTTTTAACATTCTTTCGTTTTGTTTCGTCGAGATAAATAACGGCCGATGGTTTTGCTCCCTTTCATCGCGGCGTTTTGTTTTCGAAGCGCCGCAAAACCTTTTTTCGGTTCGGGATTTTCTCCAAAGCTTCCCATTCTGGTCCCAACAAGAATGAGCCACTCAAGTAAAATCAAGACATTAATATAGTGAAATAAATAACCAACTAGATATAGGCATTTGTGTGATAGTGTTAATTTACAATAAAAAATAGTTGGGGCCTTATTGATGTCAGCTACATCGCCCGTTTGACCCGCATAATCAATACAAACGACAGGAAAAGCGGCAGTTTTATTTGAAACTGGGCAGATTGAAACTAACTGCTCCCTCGAGTTGCTCTCATCTCCTCTCCGATACAATGGAAATAAATGGCTCAGGAAACCGGAAAAAATTCGAATTACCGAGCAGGATTATCCTTTTTTCCGTTAGAACGACGCTCCTGCCACTGGTTTATTTTTAATTAATCTTTTTAAGTAATTATTGTTCGAGTGTTAGCATTAGTAATCAATCTTCTGGAATATTTATTATCGCGAATATAACGAGAGTTCTCTAATTAAGAAAATAAATACAATAAATTCGAGATAATATCGCCGAACAGCATCAACCTCAAGTCGACAGATGCCCTCGCAGCAGGAACGATTGGAGATTAAAATTTTCCTCTTAACTTTCATCGTTATTTCGCTTCCCGATCTCCAGCTTCGAATCCAATGAAATGTAATAATTAATTTCGAGTTCTAACCGGCCTCCCGGAATTAGTTCGCAGAAAGTATAAATGAATTTAACGTCGACGCAAATTCGCAAGCCTCCCAAATTTAAATCGAATTGATTTTTTTTTCGAAAACCCGTATTTACGAGCCGCTCGGATTTCGCATTGAATTAGGTGCAATACCCACTTGTTGCGTCTTAATATGTGCAACCGGATCCCAACTTTCGACTCCGGTGCAATGGAAGACGACGCGACGTTAATGCACTAAAATGTGGCGCTTATAATTGGCTATTCTCCAAATAACATTTTCCAAGTTTGAAATAAAACTTACCTTACTTACTACGGTTTTTTTCCAAATTTTAAGACCGGCATAAATGCTGCACTGGCGGAAACTTTAATAGTCGTTATAATCTTTACGAACGGTCCTTTTTTATGTTATGGAATTAGTCGTAAAGATTGAAAGGGATAAGCGAATGTTATCGTACAAAAACTTTTGTATTCGATACGGCTGTAAGAGAGTTAACACCTTCGTTTGCGATCGTAAAGTAAAATTACAAATTGCGTCATGTATTATCAAGCGTAAATATCATACATCTAATTGAGCAATGTTTGAGCAATAAGGCGTTATTAATATTTATTGCGCTTAGTAACTACTTTAATTGATAATTCAGGCTGTTCTCGAGCTTATGGCACTAAATTCTAGGGGTGGTATTTGAGACCGATTCGCAAATTTCATTTTTCTAAAAAAATTATAAAAAACAAAATTGGAAATATTAAAGATATTTCAAAGAAATGCGGTCCTGTACATCGGTTGAATCATGGATAAATTATTGGGAAATGAACTACCTTGTGATGATAAATCGTACTGAATCGTAATGATGATAAATCGTACCTTTTCAAAGTATTTCTCGAATTTAATTTTACGAATTAATGATGTCTTGTAAAAAAGACAAAACAAAAAGACAAAAAGAAAAAAAACACCAAAAACAGCTTAAAAGAAAATGATAAATTCAAACTAACGGTGTGCCGAGTACGATTCGAGCGATCAGCTGTTACAGCGTTCGCAGCGCCACGGTGGACAGTTCATTTGCCAATAAAAGTAAACTGGGTTTTTCAAAGAATAGACGAAAATAAACTTTAAACTCAAAAGGAATATTAGCTCACCTATTTTCTTGTTGAAAGCTGCTTAATTGTTCCAGGACATCACTATAAAGAAACAGGAACTAACTAAACTAAGAACACTAAAAACAAAAACAAATAAATCACAAAAATCTATTTAACCCCGATGTTATAAGAAAAACAATACAATTCGTCATACATCGATAACGTTTTTCTAAAGCTGGAAGGCGGAGGGGGAAATTTGCGCTTGCTGATAAAATACACCGAATCTGTTTTTTGTGTTAAAATTACGATCAGCTGACTATTGAGGCCAGGGTTGTATTCGCTCTTTGCATTTATTTCTAATGGCTCTATTTTGTTTATTATATTTTTTTTAGAAAAATTAAATCTGCGAATCGCTCTCAAATTATACAAACTATCACCGCTAGAATTTAGCGCCATAAGTTCGAGAATACCCTGTATAATTAATCGAGGTAATAATGTAACAGTAGGAATTAGCGGTGCATAAAAAGAAATCCTCCTAGTCCTTAACGAATTTCGAGCTAATTCTAGTAAATGGGTGGATAATCCTCGTCCTTAACGAAAAGCGCTTCCCCAACTATCCATGTGCTATTGGGCGTAATAATTAAGTTTAACTCTTCGCCACAGAGATAATCACCTAACTAATCAAAGCGCTGAACCAAGTAGGTACACTCCTGCGATCTATGCGAAACACCCAAGAAGCCTAGGCAACTTTTAACTAGGTAAAATATTAGTGGAAAAGTTTATTCCATTGACTAAGCTGTTAAATTATCTCAACCCTATAATGAATCAAATTACGCTAAAATTAGTAGACGTTTATTAAGTTTCTGATGTACAACGAACATTCTTAACAGCACTTCATCTCAGATACGACCCTTGTGTGCTCTTATTGGAGGTGTTAGTTGCAATATTTACTCTGCTGCTGCTCGATTTAATAGAGGATATAGTGGGAATTGGAATTATGGTTAATCGTTATCTAAACTAGGACAGTAATTAAGGTCTGCGGTTATTGATTGGAAATAATTAACTAGCCTTTTACTGGTTATTAGGTGGATTAAGAAGATTGATTTATTTAACAAACTTGCATCTGTTGTTGTAATGCAGGGATAATTATTTAGGGAATCGAGCAAAATAGTAGGTACCAATAGAGGTGCTGTATCGATTTAATAATAAACCAAATTACTTATTAAATTCGGAACGGTTTATCTTTACAAAAGACACGTGATAAGCAACAATCGAGTACCAGTTTACATCCGATTAATATTTGTTGAATGCGCCGCGATATTCAATTAACAAGTCGTGGTGCATTACCGACGTCAATAAATTATGGGCCCCATCGATTGTTCTAAACTGGTCGGCGTAAAATTGCTTCCCGCAGGAGTTCGCCGAAACGATAGCGGCACCGCAACTCCGCGCAACAATTGAACAATTCCACCCTGCGTCGGAATCTCCTGCATATGCAGATCGCCCGTGAAAACAGCTCCAATACACACTCAATATTGTTTATTGCATAACTCTGGAGAGTTTGTTCGAATTAAATCGTTTCAAGGTATTATAATTAAGAAAGTTTGCGATGAGCAAACTTATCTTCTGTAGTCGATAGATTAAATTCTAGCTTAGAGTGGCATTGTTAAAGGCACGCCGCTGGTCATTAACAGGCCAACTGATTCCTGCTGATAATCGCATGGCATCAACGAAAACAGGATGACCTTATTTGCCGTATATGTCGGGTCGGTTCGTTTCACATATTGCACGGTATACGCCTTTAGACCGAATAAATTTTCCCAACACTTTTCCATTTCCCGTCCCTCCCGTTATCTCGACGAACCCGTCCAAATAAAATTATGTTACTTGGGCTCTAACAGGTTTCAAAAACCGAAAAATTAATTACGTTACAAATTATTCTGCGTCAAAGTGTCTAAGTAGCTAAATACGCCTAATGCCACTCCATCAAATTGTCAACTTCCCTTTTATCCAGCGGCAACGAGTCGCTCGGTTCGTGACCGAACAAAACCTCAAACGAAAACTAAATGAAATGTGCAGGAACTTTCTCCCGTTTATAAATGAATGGAAAAACGGCTCGAATCGAACGTTTAAACCTAAAGGAAAGTTTGCTTGTTCCCTTAAAGTGTCGAGACTTCAGCAGCAGCGGACATGAAGTGTTTGAAAACTTTTCAGAAATACAAATATCGGATGGAAAATTGGGGAAAATCCTATTTTACTCTTGATGCAACAATCATTTATTTATGCTAATTATTTCTGGGGTAACGCGTCCACGTAAACCTCAAAGTGAAATAGGAATTGAGAAGCGTAAGACTTTTGATCCTGATATTTAAATTCGGGTTCTAATGGGAACTTTGTAAAGAGTTGTTTATTGTGACTTTCAAGGAACTTAAAAGACGGTAAATTTTAACATTGTATTAAGTATAAGAAGAGTGATAGAGAGGAGAAATAGTATGAACTTTCACAATAGAGAATAAATTCAGTAAATAAGTATAAATATTAAATAAATTCAAATAAATTAAATATTACAATGATAATCATTGTAACGAAGGAGAACCCCGTGTTTAATCCAATTTAAGAAGCGTTTTCGCGTCGAATTGTTCAATGAAAATATCGTACGCAAGATCGCACGACCGTCGGATCTAATTAGGCAAAAAAGTTTCGAAGCGTGAACGCCGAAACTTCCATCGCGAGTGACGCAAGGACGTCAACTCTTTGGGGAATTAAACTTTAATGCAGGTATCCGTCTACAAAACGCGTTCAGACACTCCGTCAGACGCCGCCGCTCGGAATAAATCCGGTTTAATGTCAATAAATTTCGTAGTTCAGTGTAAAATTAGGGTCAAATTAAAATCTAACTGCAATCGTCGGTAAATCTCATAATTAAATAATTATAAAACGATACGTTTTATTGAAATAGACCTTTTGTAAATAAATAAAACAGTTTTATTGGTTACATGCTTCCTCGGAAACTGGGAAAGAAATCGAAACTACATATATTTATGGTACATTAATATAACATAAATCATATTTTTGGTATGTCCTAAAAGTATTGTCACAAATTTACACATTAAATTTAGATAGCAGTCACGAATAGCGTTTAAATAAAGATTAAGCCGACAGTGGTCGAACAAAAGTCTTCTCCTGCACATTGTAAGCAGATAACAAGTCCGACTTAACACTATTCACAAACGAGTTTTTGATAATGTTTTCCGTGAGGAATACATTTGGGCTTTCCTCAGGTTCACCCGCATCTTCGCCAATCAGACAGTCGTTGCTTCTCACAAATCTGCAAAAAAATTACCATTACTTGATATCAAGTTAAAATGCAATTAACAATATAAATAATTTCTACTAAAAGTTGCGGTAAAGTAAGAAAGACAGAGATAAAAGTTTCCACAAGTTTATCGAATTATAATGTTATAAAGCTCTGCATAACTCAGAAAGTTCTCCGCCTTGAAATAATAACTAGCTTAAGTGGTGGTGGAACGTACAATAGACTTTGTTGCAAAATAAAAGTATTATTTCACCTGGATGGTGTGTTTTAGTAATTAATTTCGGCGCGTTCAACTCTCCGCGTTAAAAGCGACAATAGTAGTTATAAAGTTTAAATTAATTTTCAGCCTTAATTTCGCACAAAAAATGTGGGTACACTTTAAAAGCTATAGCTTGTTCATGTGGCTTTTTATCCAACAATATTTCATTTTTGGTTTATTTCAACGACAGTAATTAAAACAGTTTCATTAGCAACAATCCGACCTTCAAATTATAGCGTAGAAGGTTGCTTACACCCCTTCCAGTGCGACAATAACGGGGTATACAATGTGTATTCGACTACAAAGAACACTTTTTCCGTGTACCATTCGGTTCTATTATATAGAACGCGAAACCGGCGTGGTTTGATGTGACAAAGCCAATTTTGCTCTCGTGTGTTCGTTACAGAAGGTCTATTAATTAACTCGTACAAAGTTCATTAATTTTCGAGTAAGGAAGAACTTCATGTTCCTTAATAGTTTCTAATACGGGCAACTTGATTTTGTAATGACTGATTTTACGACGCTAACACCCAATTCTTATCAGAAGATATTTCTTCAACGTGCAATTATATAGGCTGGAGCACTGAAGTAATTTGAACAAAAAATTTGAAGCCATGATACCAATATTTGTAAAAAAAAGGAATGAAATCGACAAAACATTTGTAACGAATGCTCCGGATTTCCAAATTACGCCAATTTGGGGAGAACTGGAAACGAACACCGCGATGTGAAAAAATTCAATAACTCCTCTTACGATGCCGTTTCCATTTTTTATATCTCCCGCTTTCCAAACAACAAAAAATATTTTCCCAACACAAATCTGCTGAACAAAAAAAATCCCCCAATAATAATTTCGCGGAATCCTGTTAGCTCCAAGACACGCTCACGCGAAAAAGAATGGAACAATATTTGAAATATTCGTTTCGAAGCCAGACAAATCATTTTATCGAATTTACCTAGCCCCCTTTTCTGGTGGCATTTGCTCTGATACATTTTATGATATAAACAGTGGAGGACTTCCACATTTTTTGCACCCCTCGGTAATTATCTAGCTTTAATACAATTTTTGACGGATATTCAAAGCTATTCGGCATCGAGGAGCTTTTTCAGCGGAATTATCACAGGAAAGTGTTGAGATTGCATACTCGAATAGATTTAAAGTGGATTCGGATCCAGACCTGCGAGAACCAGTTCGGCGGGGCGTTAAGGGAAAATATCGAATTTGTCGCTCGAACCGAAATGTATGGAGCACGTTCTGTCGTTGACATTTTGTGTTTTCTTTAAGTCCTCATCCATTTACTATTCAGCATACTTTTCAAAGCGTCGGTACATAACATTGCGGACGGGATTCTGGCTATGCAATTTTTGTTTATTTTGCGCCAGTGAAAACCACCAATGTTATTGATAACGTTTACCGCATAGATGCTGGGAATTGAAAATATAACTCGCGATTCGAAGTTGAAGACAAAAATATCCATCAAAATCGAAACGATTTGTGACGTGAATATTTCCAATGTTTCATTTCAAATACAAAAAAAAAGCGAAAAGCGCATTGCAAACGATGTTTTAGTAAATTTGAGTGCAATTGGTCATTCACTGCACCGTATTTCTTCTGATGTTTGATAGAATTTATGACCGTTTGAAATTGCATCGCCATTGCCAGCAAATTGTAGCACTGAAATTAGGTCTCCGGTAGACATCGAACCGAGGATAAATCCTATTTTTTTTCACTTGTCGAAACTTTTTGGCAACAAATAAATCGTTCAAAGCGCCATTCCAGTTTTTATTTTTATTGTTTAAAACACGAAGAATCGCGGAATTGACTTTCTTTTTGTTTCAGCTGGCAACTTAAGAGTAAAGATTGAAAGTTCGAATCATGTAGAAAACGCTCCTGTCTTTCGGAGAATTAAAGAAAACTCCAGGAACCAGTCCATATCATCGCAAAAAACCAATAAACTTTTATTGACTAATTCAATTACTTTAGAAAATCATTCATATAAATATAAATCAATATGATTTAATATTAGTAATAAACTGTTGGCCTGTAAAATATGACGGTAAATGTTTCTTGTTTAAGTGGTGGCAATTTCACTATTGATCATTTTATGCAAATATCCGCAACATTAACCAAACGAACATGCACATTTTAATGAGAACGCCTTTTCTATGCGAGTTGACACGTTCGAATGATGCATTTTAAAGTGACAACAGCAGAATTTATTTTTTCGAAAATGTCTATTGCCTATTTTTTAAAGAGTAAAACCTTATTACTATAGCTATAGAGTATACTATGTTCATGCTAATGAAGCAGTAACATCACATAATAAATAAAACATAGCGATGTTGCCACGTAGTAGGTAATTTAATTCCTTAAAAATTTTCATGCAATCATTTTTAATACCAATAAACATATGTTTATGAAAATATACCAGCTTAGGTAAGTGCCCGAGTTTCCTTGAGAAAATCATAAACTTTCCGCAATCCACTCGGTAAAGTTATTTCCTGCAAAAAAAGTCACCTAAACTTCCACATGAAGCGCTTCCTTATGACTCTTAAACTTGAAACTTTGGGGTGGAAAAAAATTATAACAGAGGTCCTAAGTTCCCAAAAAAATCCCAAGGCGATGTGTTGTTTACTTCGCGCGCTCGAAGGTCGGAAAAGCGCCGCTAATTAATCGGAAAATTATACTTCGAGCGAGGAGTAAATAAACGCTTCCTGTTGTATCGCCGGCTCTATATTTTTCGGTTTTCTGGAGGTGTTGGATTACGAACATTAAGCAAAATCGTAGGAGAATGCCCTTTTTTGGCGAGCGTAAAAAATGGTATGCCGGATGATCGTTATTTTAAAGGTCATTCGACTCGAAATCTGGAGCTGAAATATATGAGACCAATTTGTTTCGCTGGGTTTCTCTCTGCCTCCGGGGAAAACCGTACAGCATCAGCGGAAAATAGTTCATTTTTTGTCGGATAAAATCCTCGGTTGGTGCAGTTTCCTAATTATACCGAACTTATAGGAGCATTCAATTTGAATTCGATCAGGCAATTCAGCGTAACATCTTTATTGAGCGCACCGGAAAAGCGCCTTCTCGTATCATATAAAAGCCGAAGAGACTTTTATTGAAAGATGTCTACTGATAAGCGTTCGAAAGCAGCGAATATTGCGCGGTATTCCATTCAATTTGTCGCGTACACAAGGATATTTAAATAAAAATGGCAGAAGATCCCTTTCGGAATAGTTCGTTTAAAATATAAAATTGCTGCATTTTTATGAATCTCCTGCTCGATATTAACTTGTGTACTCCAGTACACAAAGAACGGAACGGTATATATGTATTACCATATACCGAATCAAAAGCCGTTTTCATGAAATTACAATGGAACAGAGAGGTTGAATCGTATGCACTTACCTACCTACAAGTTCCATCGGATTAGCCGGGATTTCCATCGACGTAGTGATATACATACCATGAACTCTATTATGCAATGTAAATTTCATGCGATTAGAAAAAGCGTATCGAAGCCGTATCCTCGGGGAAATGATGCGAATAACGCTGAGAAAATGAAATTTCTTTATTTGGATGCCCGATTCACCGCAGATCGGTAGGATCCCAAATAGCATTTTCTACCAGGTGATATCTTTTACGAGCGTTTAGATCTTAGAAAAAAATAAATAAAGTAAAAAGCTCACTTACTAGGAATAGAAAATTGGTGGAATTTATTTCATGTGTCTTCCTGTATGTCGAATATGATCGGCCTGCAAATCCCTTCGCTCGGCGATGGTCCGGGTTGTTGGCAAGAAAGTCCGGGCTCGCAAGTTCCGCTAAAGCCCAGATCCCCACCGCATGGCTCTCCTTCAGTCTTCGCACATTCTTGGCAACACCTGCAATAAAATAAACCATAAAGATCAAAAACCAGAAATAAATAAGTAATAAATGTAGTTAATATTTAAGAGAAGAATTACCTATAAATAAAATTAGCTCTAGAGAATAAAATTCGTTACAATAGAATTTTATTACTGAGTTGCAGTAAATAACGAATTCAAAATAGAGGCGTTAAGAATTTTTAACAAAAGTTGTAGCTCATAAATACAGAATTTTCACCTCCCCTAAATAATACACCGGCTTTTAATTTTTTGCCTAATTTAACACCAAATTTACGGAATTAATACACCTTTCTGAAGTAAAGAAGACTTCTTAAACAAGTTCATTCTGTTTTTAATTCAATAACATTAATTCTACGAATACCTGTGGGAACTTCCATTCATTTTAACAATAATATTCCTGTTTCTCCATCGCCTCGTTCCATTAAACCAGAAGATGAAAGCAAGAAGAAAAACAAAAAGTTTTTCATCGAAAAATGTCTGAGATGAAAAAAGCGCTAGTGAAACCGTTCATTAATTTTAAGCAGGTACTTATACTCTTCCTTTTCGTAAAGAAATTAATAATTTATTATACAATCCGGCACATTTAACTCTTATTCGGGTTTTCCGTTAAAATTTATCTCAAGTAGTTATAAACGGTAAGCGTATGTACACGATTAAATAAATATAATCCTCATAAGTTGCGGTTTCTGGTAAATGCATGCTGCTCTTTACTACCGATTTAATTAAGTCTGCATATTTATGCCGTTTCAGTAGGCGAATCGTTGGATTTTATTTTCGCCTCGGCTACGACCCTATTCGTAAAAAGTATTCATTCTTCGCTGACGTTCATGATTTTGTAGCGAGGCGATATTTTAAAAATAAACGAGGCCGGCGCCTAAAAACGTTTAATGACATCGTTAAATGTTCTAATTGTACTTCCCGTTCGTGAAAATTTTAATATCCGCATCCTTCCCGTTTCATTAATAACAGCGAGCAACGCATCCTTAATGCTTTCGCCCTTGTTTTAGGGGAAAGGACACTCCATCAGGGAATAATTTTCGGTTGTTAGTGAACAATCTATCGAAGAAAAGTCGATATTCCTGCTGACAAGTTTATTATCGTACACACGTTACTGGATTATAAAACATTTGTACGTTACAACTTTATTTGTAGTTTAAAACTTCTGCTTTTAATTGATTTCCTTCGCCTTTCAGCATATCTCTTATTTGCTGGTTTTTAATCAATGGAATTCTCAGTTCGTTGACGGCATTTTCCCTGCAGACGACGATTTCTTTTTTCAAAATTTTCTTGATTGTGTTTTTAATGTAGGCGTCGTTTTTTAATGACTCGAAGACCGTGGTTTTCTGCTTGTCTGCCTTGGGTATCATATTTTTTATAAAATCGCAGGGCATTATGTCGTTTTTGCGCAGGAATCCGTCTAACGATATGCATTTGGTCGGGCCCATTTTCTTTTTGTTCTTCGGTTTTTTCTTTTTGTAGATGATAGTCTTCTTGTATTTTTTGTATTCCTTTTCGCGTATTTCCTGCTCTTTTCTCACGGCATCGACCAATTCCGTGGATTTCGTTTTCAGGTCTTTGTTGACTTTGCTAGTCTCTTTCTGATTGGATTCGGTTATTTCTGTTTTATTGGTTTTCAAGTTATGGACCATATTGTCTTTGTCTACGTATAAAATCGGTTCTTTTTGCTCATCTTTGTTGGCTGTATCGGCGACGTGTTTTTCTAAGAATATATCTTTAATAGGGTTTAATTTTTCGAAGTTATGGTTCGATTTCGATTGCTGCAGGATATTGGATGCACTTAGTTTTCTTTTAAGGATATTGCCTTTTTTCCTCCCTCCTGGGTGTTTGTTCTTTCGATGCAGCATAATACCGTGTTGCTCAGTGGAGGTGTCTGAATTCACAAATTTGACCCTTTTTCTATTATGCGCCTGTTTCGTCTCTGTTTTGAGACCGGCTTTATTTTTTTTCATTTCAGGCAAATGTATTTTCAGTATTTTCACTTAAAATAATTTATCAAAAAAATTGCTTCCGTGACATAACTAATCTTTGACGTTCTTCTATAAATTATTTAAATACATTTGACATTGATTATTTTCCAAATAAAATTTTAGTTCGAAGATTTTTTCCATAATTTGCCATGAAAGTTGAAGTATCTCCGCCGATAAAAGTATATCAAAATATATGAAAATGTAATAAAATGGAACATGAAGACGACGTTAAAAGAATCAAAGAGCAAATCAAATATAAGGTAAACAAATCGAAAGTAAACAAATGTGATTTGAAATCGCACGTGCAAGAGCCTTTCAGCGTCTTGGATATTCCACAATTGCTAAACTATTTCGAGACGCCTGATGAGAAAAAGAGCTTCCGAAAATCGAGCACGAAACCTTCCGAAGAAATTAAGCAAGGCGATAATTCGGAAACGCTAACGAAAACCGATAAGAAATTAATTCCTAGTTTAAGTGAAATTTTGAATATAATTAAGCTCGTTCGAGAAACGTTCTTATGGAAACCGGATAGAAGCGCAGACCTTCGTTCGAATGAAAAACAACTATCGAATTTTTCTGTCGAAGAAAAGATAGCGCTGGTCAAAGAGAACTCTCGTAAATATTCACAAAAAAACAATTACGACACCTCTTATTACTTGTCGGTGCTGTTGAAGTTAAAAGACTATTTGCAGATATTTATTAGAGATGATAACGTGGAAAATCCGGAAATTAGCGAAATATTTTCGAAACTTAAGTGTTTCATTTGGAGATTATCCAAAAACGAAGAACTACAAGCGAAAAAGCACACACAGAATTTGGTAAATACAGACATGACAAGTCAATCTTATCAATCCTCTCCTGCTTTGCAAAGCTTTAATAAGATAAAACTTGGCCCGAAAAGGAAGAAGAAAACCGTTAGTTCTGACGGTTTAATAAACGGCAATAAAGATCAACCAGCAAGTACTAATTATTTGAGTACGTCACCACTGAAAATGCTGTTAAAAATGAATACGAAGTGCAGTTCTACTCGCAGACAAAATCTCCCAAAACTGTATGCCAGAAAAGACAAATTCAACACTATTTTCAACATATACGGTGATTTACTCAACGATTACAAAGAGTACTACCAACCGTACGTACACAAATCGACTCCTTCGTTAGAAAAATTAAAAACCAAACATCCCCACAAAGCCCCAGCTGAGGATCCCATCTACCATATCGAATACTTCGACAATGAGGATGTTTTGCTTTATTTACTGGGCAACAAACTGTCTCCTACAATTTTTCCAAAAAGAATATCAGCTAGGAAACATCACAAAAAGTCCGTCAGAAAATCGCACAGCGTTTCCACTACATTCAATCGCAACGATGTTAAATCTAAAAACATACTGAAAAAGTCCACGAAAGGCGGGACTAAAATCAATAAAAAAGTGACCTTTCAATTGCCCGAAACCAGCAGCGATCAAATAAAAGGTAACATTTTCATTATTATTTATAATTAACATCTAAATTATATATAATTTTCAGGTTACAAAAATGGAAAGGTGTGATTTAACCCAAAAATCTGCTTGTGAAGTGGTAATTTTTCTTATAATAGGCTTGACGTTTAGTTGTGAAAATGACAAAATAAAAAACAGTTTCAAAACAGTTAATTTCATAGTGAAATGTTCAAAATTCTCGTGAAACAAATACTACAAAAAATAGAAGCAATAAATATGAAAGTGGAGAAACGAAAGTCCAGAAACAATAAAATAACAAAAAAATCGAAAATAACAAGAAATAAACAAGTAAAACAAGAATTATCGAACGAACCTCTTCAATTCTTTAATAACAAGAGAGACAATGATCAAATGGAGATGGGTCCGTATCTATTTAAAAACGCTGGTAACACTGTATCATCCGAAGAACTATATGATGAACTTTATATGAGAGAAAAAATCGACGAAGCTAGAAAATTGTACAGTAAAACGGTGTCGATCAACAATCCACTTAATCCTTCTTATAAAAACAAAACAACTTTGTCAACTCAATTTCTCAACGATAAAACCATTCCTGACGTCGTAAAATCATTCATAGTTTCATCTACTTGGCAGCAAAACACTAATCACTTGAAAAGGGACATTTGCAAAATCATTAAAAACCTACTCTTCGAACTAGAAACCTGCGACAACGATCCCAATTTGGAAGAGGAGGAATACAAAATCATTTACGACGTGAGAAAATTATTACCAGAGTTCCAAACGATCATCGGATTTTCGCCGGACGAATACCGAGAATTTTCCGTACGGCCAAAATTCCCATCCCAAAACCCCAATTCCGACAAAAAGAGAATAGTCATATTACAGGATATTAAAAACATACTAAATCGCCTTAAAAAAGACAAGAAGAAAAAAGAAACTAACGAAAAAACGCTGCCGAGTAAACCTAAATACAGTGAGAATCCACACGCAAGATTCCGAACAACACTTCCCACCCCTCGTGTAGACAACAAACAAAACGCCCCCTTAGTAAACGAATCCTTAAAGAAGAGAGACATCGAAGACGTCCTGAAAGACTTAAAGCACTTCCTGCCTGAAAGAAAACCCTACAGCCCGCTGACCGTAGAAGAGCAGTACCAACAGTACCTGGGCTACCCCGATGAAAACAACATGGTCACACCTCCCTGTTCCAGGCAAGAGCGATGCACCGAAGACATACTAGAAGACATGAAAGAAATGATCCCCGAACTGCAGCAAACCCAAAGAATAATCAACAACTTGACCAACAAAGACTTTCACCATGCAACCAAAAAAGTAGTACAATTAGAAACAAGGAGTCCCAGTACAGTGCTCTTGGAAAATTTGCAGAAGAAAATCGGTATGGAGAAAATCGAACAAGTGCAATCGTGGCTCAAAAGAAGAGAAATTTTAAGAATAAAAGACAAAGATAATTACCATGAATTGTTTATGAGCAACAACGATGGCATATAAAAGAAGTTCGTCGATGGTCTTGTTTTATATGAAACTACAGTACATATTTGAATTTATTTTAAGATTGTAAAGTAAAATTTGAAAAAACTTAGTTTTTATTTATTTACTTAATCATTAATACCCTCGTAATAGAAATAAGTGCAAAAATTACGAAATGAACTTCTTCACGATCGTAATTGGAAAACTTAGTTATCATAAACAACCATGAGAATGGTTTTCGACGCTTGTTTTTAGAGCGTGTTTACTGCAATATTTTGTTTATGACATTATCATTTAATTGTCATCAGCGTTCGTCCAAATTTTCGTAGTCCATTATCATCAAAATTATGCAATAAATCATGGCGGGTTCATTATTCATTAACTCATGCATGAAAAATGATAATGGAAAATATAGTTAAATCGCTAGACAAGAAAGCAGATTACCAAATCCATAGAACGCAACGTGTGGCTAATTACTTTCACACCCAACTGAAAACGATTTACTCAAAAATACCAGCGCTAGGTTTGGAAGAAGCTACCCTAAAGCCGAATCGCGCCGAGACGACTTCACTCAAAGGAACCCCCAAGAAGATCAAATTCCGCTCGAAAAATATGAACCAGTCGCTGATCGACATCAAGAAGCCGCTAGACAACATGGCGCAGCTCAGGAAAATCTCCACCAGCATTCGCGATAAGTACCTGAAATTCGAATTGGAAAGCTCGGAAAACACCAGCTACATCAAGAAAGTGCGGGATATCGAACAGTTCGATCGCGGCAGCGACTTCGGCTTGAATTCGACTATCAACGGCCCGAGAGAATCGAAAATAGACAGGCTGAAGCGCACGTTGATTCCTCAAATAGATATAATCACGTCAGCGTCAATGGAATTATACAACATCAAAATGGGTTCGTTAAAAACGGGAAAAACACTTCGATGCTCGAACGAACCGCACGTAATGAACGAAGTTAATCTGGACTTGGAGGACTCCGACCTGTTGGATAATTTGCATAGAAAAAGATCGGAAATGAATATAACGGAGTCCTTTATGGATGAGTTTAATGCAACGGTGGAAACGTCGCCTAAAAATAAAACGGAAGTGACCGTAATTCCGGATAAAAGCGAAACTCCTCTGGACAAATTGAAGTCGTTCTTAAAGCGCGTACGTACACAACAGGAAGTTGTTCCAGACATCGCACCCGAATTAGAACAAATGTATAATATATTAGGAAGCATCCGGATCAAGAAAAAACCAGATCCGCACTATTGGATGCCCACTCGTTCCAGTAAGTTAAAGGCTAATCGACCGGATTTTTTAGACGACTAATTTTACCTATTAAAAACTCTCAAATCAAACGCAAAGTGAGTATAATTTTTCAGTTCAATTACTAAATACAACCTAAACAGAAATTTGATTGCTGTCTAGAAGATATAATGACTAATAAACGCCCGTTTTCCATTGTTTCCATTGTTTAAATAATAATTTACTCTAGAATCCAATTCGAATCGTTAAAAAAATCGAGTCTATAACGACGTCATTTGCGCGCTTCCTCCGGAACGTGATGAGCGTTAGAACGTAAAGAAGGGACTAAATTAAATAAGAGAGCTAGAGCAGAGTATAGAGGTGGCTCGTGATGCTTATATCAATTTTCGCTAACGAAAGCAGCGTAGTTAATAGAAAGTATCTAGTTAATAAAATATAATGATAATGTTACTTACTGAATTATTTTAGAACTTTTCATTACCAAGGACTATCGACTTTCTAATAAATACGTGTTTATTTATACTTTATATCCTTTACGTGACCTGCTTAAAGATTAGTAATAGGTTGCAAGATAACTATAAAGATACAGTAGTTATCAATAGACTCAATGAATGGACAATTTTTACAAAGGAATATTCTACAAATTTTTAAGAGATGAAATAATTATAATATAAAATAATGTCGCCGTGGAAAAGTTATTTCCTTTCCATGCGGCGTTTATTCGGAGCAATTCCTGACGGGTCGGAGCGTGCAAATGTAATTCCCCTTTCACGTCGGAGGCGTAATAAGTCAATTTCGTATTCGATTTTGAGCCTGCGTTAGGGCCGGTCTGATCCCATTTAAATATCAAATATGTTATTATATGAACGTCCCGACGTATCAAGGTCTCGTTTGAGGCGGTCATCTACCGCAAATTGAACCGCACGTTTCCGGCCGTTTCATATTTTTGGATTCCTGCTTTTATGAAACTAGCTGAATTTTTCTTTATTTCGAATTCTTATCCAGAGATTATCTAGCAGAGAAACTATCTAGTTCTTTCCAATAATAGAAATAATTAATTTTCGGAACAAAACGTTTGGTTAAGGCGGAATGTGAAGTTAGCGTTAACGATCGTTTATTGGGAAGTATTCTCAGTACGTTCAATATCCTCGAGGGGAATGTATAGAGAAATTGGGGCGCTTTATATATAACTCCAAAGATAAACCGAAAAAGGCGCTATGCTATCATAACAGTTTCGATAAGCTTGTATAACAACATTCTAATAGATAGGGCGAGAATTTCGACTATTATTACATAAATTCAAGCCTTAAACCATAGTTGGTTACACATTGAATATTGGGTATAATCCGTATCGAGTACACGATTTATTACTACTAACAGAAATATTTTTTTAATCATGAACTACTGATATAAACTAAACTACCTTAAACTTAGTTTAATATCAGCTATTAATTTTATATGACCATGAACGTGTGAAATAATATAGCGACTGCTCCAGATCCAGTACTAAAGTTATTAATAAATTTATAGTTTTAATACTATACCGATTGTCGAAATTGGAGTGGTTTATAATTCAGATTTTTAATGGAGCTCCTACTTTTAACTTGAGTGTAATTAAACCTTTTCACATGGCGTTCCTTTGAACGTGTATGAAAGAAAATGAAAACGAAAATGAGCGTTTTAGATGGTACATACACGGAGCAGAAAAAACATAAAAACGGACTTTATGCGAGCATTTATACTTTTACAAAAGGAAAATGGCGAAATAACGGTGTGCATATCAACTTAAATGTCATCTACAGTACTAACCCGGCGCACATTTGAACCATTTGTTCTGCTCTGCTTAGGCTTTAATGCCAAATTCGCCCGGAATATGAAACAACGGAGGATTTTTTACTTACACTTCATAAAAATTCATAGCGTAGTAAGTAAATCCACTTAATTAATGCTTCATAAAGGTCATGAGAATACCTTGATTTTCAATTTCATAATGATATTTCCCGCAAATCGAAGTTATAACACCTTTCTATTAACCGAAAAGGGCGTTTATCAAATAACTAATAAATAAAAGGAAACTCATAACATGTTCACCCGCTAAGTTAAAAATCGGTTAGCGATTATCTAGCAGGCGAGGCAATTTTTCAGTTGCAAATGATAGGGAAAAATGAAAAAGTAATGTTCGTACGGCCTCGTATACGGTTAATGGAGTTTCATTCGGTTTTATTAGTCGAAAACTGCCCTCGTTAGAAGCACGCGATTGCCGACCGAGAAAATGAAGGAATATTTAGATTTGTAGCTCAGGTCGCCAAAATTGTTTCCGAATTGATATTTATTCAGCGTCGAAACGTTAATAAAAGTACTTGATGTGAGAGAAACGCCAGTCAATTGCTCCATTTATACAATAAAATAAACCCTCATTATGTGAATGATGTCCGTGTAAATCTCTTTGATCTCTAACTTGACAGAAAACCCTTTTAATGACCCACCGAACGTAATTTGTTATTCTCAAAGGGCTATTGAAACTTTCTCTTTCATGTATCCGTCGATAAAAAAGAAAATTTACTCGCCTTTCAGGTGCTTGAATTGAAGCACAAAAAATTACCCTAAATAAAGCTTCTTAACCGGAATTTTTTACTCATATTATTTTTCTTGTTCTAAACAGTTTCATTTGAGTGACTTACATTTTTCATCTAAATTATTTAAAAAACACCATTAAATTAGCTAACAACGGCGACAAATCGTCATGTAAATTCAGTAAAACTTTTTATAGAACTAATAACAAATTCGTTTTTCTCCTAAATAAAAAATCATCCAATTCAATTCGGGCCGGAATTTGCGTAAACGAAAATAAAGTAAAACAGCGCTCTCGATTTGACAAATTGCGAGGGCGAATAATTTTTTATACCCCCTTTAAACCGTTCTCGTCGGAATTCATCGGGGGCCGCGGCAGATGGTAAATTTTTTTGAACGATGAGGGTGTTGTTATTATATTGTACGTTAAGAAAAACTTGAGGAGCGACGTCGGCGAATGTTAGATGGAGTGGCAGTGTCACTTTTTGAAAGCCCAGGAGAACGTAGAAAGCTTGTAAAGCGGCGAGCGTGAGCCATTGGGAACAAGGAAATTCGCTTGGGGACGAATATTTTCGCAGATATTACAAATTTCCTATTTAGGATAGACATTGTAATCGACAGTGCAATACACCGTTTCACCTTGCTAGCTAATTGGAAATTTCTTTTCAACGAATTCAAAATTGAAGAGATACATTTCGAAACGCCGCTTTTCATTCAAATGCACTGCCTAACGTTCCTTGTTTTTTCCCCGTCGAGATTAAAGCGCGGAAAAAGAAAATGGAAGAGCCGCAACTCGAGATGGGTAGGGTATACGTATCGCGTTTTAAAATCTACCACTGGAGGCGTATTATCATAAAAGTTGTAGAGATCGCAAAAAAGGGAAAAGTCATTATTTATGCAGTGTTACAAGGGCTGGAAATTGAATGCGCAGTGATATTTTCACCTCTCGAGATGAGGCGGAGATGTTAAACTGTGAAATAGGTTGGCGAAAAATGTTGCTGTATGGCGATTGCGCTGAAGTATGTGCGACTAGGAGAAAGAGGAAATTATGCTATCACAAGATAGGTGTTTACCAAAAACTTGTTTAAAGATAGCAGAAGCTTTTTAAATAGCTTTGTACACGCCGAAAGAAAAACTAATAGAAAATGGAAAAGTTGGTAGAAAATTTATGGAAAGTAGGTAACAATTTTTTAGTCACTGAACTAAAATGTTAATAAATTCTTTTAAAGGTCTCATTATGTGTTACTACACACCTCGCATTTTTGCATGTATTTTCTAACCTTACAGTCTCCTTGTTTATTATTAATGTGACGTAAAAAACACATAATGACCATTTGAAACGTATCGCATGGAATAGTTTGTGTATTTTTCTTTTTTTGCAATATCGCGTGTCGTATTCTTGTATAAATTTGTATTGCCCACAGTTCGGCTGTAGGTTTCATATATTTACCCAATCCGGAAACGATATACCACTTTTACATAAAATCCGAATAAATAAGAATGAATAATTGACATGGTATCAAATTCGATCGCTTCTAAATATACTACAGTATTATTATGAAAGGAACGAATTTGGAAAACAAAGCGATCTTTTTCTGTACTTTGCTCTATAATGGGTTCTCGAGTTTTCGTTCTTTTTCTTCGGTGCAAATAATTCGGGGTTGTCTTTTTTAAATTGCGAAGATAAACTGAATAAAATCGCGTTTTAATAGACCGATAAATGAGAAAGTTCGAAACGAAGGAGTTGGAATTTCATTAAACGGTGCCTCAGTCGATATTTAATGTTCGAGATGTTTCTGTAATTTCTTGGGATTCCGTTGAATTCGAAAGGCCACGATGTTCCAAAATTAATGATCCCGCGGGAATATTTTTTTCGTTGCCGCCTGAGTGATTAAAATCTTTATTAATGAATTAATATTCGTTGTTGAGTTTTTTATTCCGCACGAACATAATTCAAAAGCCGTCCGATTTCAATACCAAGCGGCTTTATGATTGCAGGTTATAAGTTAAATGCAATCTGCTACAGTAATAGCAGTACAATAAATATTTAATAAGAAGGCCGTTAACAAATTGATTTTTCCAGAAACGTTTTGCGTCGAATACACGCTAAAATTCATTTCATTTCATACATGTAAATCCCTCGGGTACCTACATTTTTTAATAATATCTATATACTTATTCCGTAAATAGCTTTTATGTAGTATATTTCCTCGAGTATTCCGTATATGAACGAATGGAAAAAAGAAATTATATTAGCAGATCTGGTGGCTTCAAAGAACAGACGTTCCTTCATACTTTTAAAATTATTTTACCTAATACATCTCAACGAAAAATGTCTACATCACAACACTCGTATTATTCCCTATTTTCGCTCTTAGCAGATATATTTTATACCTCCACTAACGGTATATTGCTTTATTTTTCTTTTGCCTTTCGTAAATGCAGAAAAGATAAACAGCCCAGTACCTACGGGAGTTATTGCCTTTTTATTACTTTATTTTTCTCAAAGAAAAATTATTAAACTTTATGAAATTTTAATGGAGAAAAAATACAAACTGGCAACGCTGCATCATTTATATAGCGTCGTCACAAAGTAAGGGTGAAGGCATTATTCGAGCAAATGTTTGGATGAAGTTATATAATAATAGAATACTTTTTAATTAAGTTGCTATTAATGAAGCCGTTTGTTATATGTATCTAAAAGAATTCAATTCTGTTTGCTTGGAACTCCCGCTTTCCTTTCCAATTAAATCTGCGAGCTTTCCGTTTTTCAAGTTTGTGTTCAAGTCAGCCAAAAACTTTTTAATGTGCAAAATCGAACCGAAAGAGTCGTTTAATTCATTTAAAAGGAAAGTCTATCGATTAGTGATTAAATTAGTTTCCTTTTACAAACGAACCCATCATTTTAGAAATAATTTTGCCGTTACCTGTATGAAAGAAAAAGCTTCGCGAATGTTTTATAGACTTTCGGTCTTAAATGGACGGTTTTTGCTTGTATAAACGACGCCTTTCCGACAAAAGAAATGTAAGTTTTTGAATCGCTGAGGTTTTCCCTTTTGCTCCATAAAAGCCAGGAATACGTCCGAACCTTTCCTACAGTCGAACGTGTTATCATGGAAAGTAGATCGCTTGTAACAAAAGGAAAAAATGTAGTGTCAGCAAGGGTTACGGTAAGCGCCGGATGTGCAATATTAAACTGAACGTTCGAAATGTTTCAAAAGTGGAGCTTTATATGAGCTGGAATAATCCGATGAAAAATACCACTGTCGGTAAGAAGTTTAAATAGTATTTTTTTGTGTCTATTCGAGAAGTTTCGCTTTCTCTCGAGCTATACCGGTACAAAATAATACACCCACTCTTATAGGTATTAAGTGCCCGTCCTTCGTACACGCACGGACCAAAGTTTTGCGCCCAGAGGCACGATATTTCTCAATCGGTTCCTTAGGGGCCAGAACCCTTAATCACGAATGTCGAATATTATGGGATCAGATATATTAGCTAACCACGCTAGATTCTATTCACAACGTGAGAGATAATTTTATACATCTAATGTTTACAGTAAAAAAATATCCTCAAAACTATAAATGGCATTAAACAAGAGTAGTATAAAATGGAACAAAAGAGCCAAACCGTTAATTCCTATAATACAAAGATCTATTTCATCCGTTCAATTATTTATTAATCCATTACTCTGCGCCTGTAATTTCGCGTGAGCATCCTTAGAAACGAAACCGACCGCCGGTGGTACATTCACTGTATTCTGAGCAAACCTGAAACTACAAAATCTCAGAAGGGAGCATTCCCGACCATTCAACGCGACAAGAGCGAATGTACCAGCGAGTTAATGCCATGTATTTCATTTTAACTCTGATTTATATCGGTGTATGCAGATGAAGTCGTCGTTTATTTGAGGAAAAGACAATCAGACAATTGATTGCGAAGGAGCTTCCCGTTCTACAAATCCCCGATGATAGGACTGTTTAAGATAAATTATAAAAGGATTCTTTCAATATTTATTATACAATGAGGATGTTTCACTACGAAAAATTTATCAGGTAAAAATCGATAAGAAATCTCGACCAGTTCCTTAGGTATGTAACAAATTAATTCAATTAAGACTGAAATCTTTGCTGCTGGGAAGTAGGAAAACTTTAATTTCTCCGCCGGCTAATGGAAATATTTCCGGAATCTTTAAAATTGCATTAGCGACGGGAGAGCTCAAAGCGCGCCGCAAACGGAGTATGTGTGTACAAATGAATCGACGCTCACAGTGGCGATATCAACTTAGGCTCGGAGGCGAGATAAAATACAACACATGAAATATGTTGCTTGTTTCGCCGAACTTTGGATTTCCAAAACTTATAGTGGGAGTTTGGAGGGATTATGAACGTACGAGGTAAACACCGAAAGTTTTCCCCTCGATTTTAAAGTTTTCTAGGGAATTCCGAACTTATTGTTATTTTACTGCGATAATTAGAGATTATAAATTATTGAGCTATAGTAAAAATTTTACCACTATTTTAAGTAAAATGATGAAGAAAATGCGCTTATACGAACCTTCCATCGACACAATTGAAATAAAATAAAACAGTACCATTGCACTCTAAATTTTATTCCAACTTTCCATAAAATACGAACCGTTGTATTAACCAAATTTAGATTCCGAACGTATCAGAATAAAAATAAGAAGTCGAATTTCCTGCAGTCGAAAAAGTAAAATACATTTCTCCTATTCCGATGATTCCCATTTCCGTTTACAACCTTTAAAAACCGTTCTACAAGTTACATAGTAACTGAATTCGTTTCTGGGGATCGTAAAATGCTCCTTATTACATTCGACTTAAATTTATGTTTCGCAACTCTTACGACTTTTTCAATTATTTAACAATCTAACATTCGAGGAAAAATCCCCCGCCAGTTTAGATAAATATAGTTTTCTGTGAAATGCCGAAGAGACATCTAGTGGTAAAGTAGTGACATCGAAATAAAAGCTTTATTTAAACTGCACCTCAACCACAATGTGTACAATGTCATCGTTAACTTCAAATTGATGTTTATATACTCTTACTATACAATGGTCGAGTTTACGAAGGTGGTTTTTTTATTAACTTTTTGCACCGGAATAATGTCAAAATTAAGCGATTTCGAATCCGGCAGTGAATCGGCTTATGTATTGGACTCGAATAGTGCGCAAGGATTCGAAAATGACGTTCCCTTGCACGAAAGCTACAGGCCGAAGCATAAATATAAAGTAGGGACTGGGCACCAAGAAATCGAGAAACGTTTTTTAGATGCTAATAATACCATTAAAGGAATGCGAGACCCCCAGTGTGCCATAATGTACAAAGATAACGAACCCGTAGGCATACTGCAGCCCTTCGAGGAATCTTATAAATTTTTACCAGTACAAGGAGAGTCTACGTATGTAGAAATCAATCCGATACCGGCGAAAAGAAGAACCGTCTTAGATATCCTTTATCCCAACGAATTTACAGATGATTACGACGATGACAAATTTTCGAATATCGCTAAATTCGCCGATGACAAATACCCCTCAGTTTTCACTAAATTCAAAATAACTAACAGACTTGATAAAAACGTCAAGGAAGTTACCAAAAAGAAGTCGAATTTCAAGCGAGCTCTATTAGACACAATCGCCCCAGATCCCATTCAAATAACTCTAAAAAACAACGAAGAACAAAACACCCTTGTTAAAGAAAACGCCGGAGTCGAAGAGAAATTAAGAGGTATTCTAGACGATATGGGTTTGATAGACGATTATCCCAATCAAGAAGTGAAAAGGGAAGTGGAAGACGAGAATCTGGAGCTCGGCACTAATAAAATAAATTTAGTTAAGGAAAACCGGCTCAAAAGGGAAAATTACACGGAAAATTCGAGAATGAGTTCGGAAAGTGCGGTGACGAATAAAAAGGTAAAAAGATCCGATAACATACTCGAGTGCACGACTGTAGAATTCATCGGAACGCATAACATCGACGATTATGAGAAAAGAGTGGAACGAGAAATACGCGACAGAATACAACAGCTAAAAGAAGAAGTCAAAAAGGAAATCAGCAACATTACGAACAACGAAGATGAAACGAAAAGAAAAAAGAGGCAAATTATCAATACACTCATGGACGAAGAAACCAACGATATTAATCCCACATACAACATTGAGGACGTCGAAAAACCTCTTATTCGCAGAAAGCGAAACACCGATGACGGAAACGAAGTAATTGAAGAAGAACCAGATCAATTCGAGCGAAACAAACTCGACACAAACTACTACGATGACCAACGAGGTAATGAAGAAACAGTAAACAATAAGATTAATCAACCCAAAGGAAAATACGAATGCACATGCGATAGAAACGATGCCGACTGTAAATGCAACGAAAACAATATGAATCGAAGAATAAATAACAAAGCGTCGTATCCAAAACTGCTCAATACGAAAAGATCCAAGCAAATATGCAGCTGCGACAAAAACGGTCAACATTGCAAATGCGAGGACACGGTGAAAGAAACCATACCTTCCATGGCAGAATATTATAACGATTACAACGAAAACAACGACATAAGCGCTTGGAACGACGACAATCAATATTTAACAGAGAACGATTACGAAACCGACTACAGATTCGACAAAAGAGCGATAAAACCCAGAAAATTCGCCGTCAATAAACCCCTAGAAAGCGGCGAGTTCTTCGTCGACTTCCGGCCGGACGCGTACAATCTCTCACCTCTGGAAAATTTCAGGAAAAAACGTGAGAAGCTCGGCCCCGCGCGGCTCGTTTCCTACAACGCAGACGGCATGTCGCCCCATTCGCGCTACAGACGGCGCATCCTAAAAGAGGAAAACAACATCTTACCCAGGCAACTCATCGATATGTCCGACGAGGACCTCTTCGGAGCCCTGCCCCAGAACTTCGACGGCGAATTGATAAGATATAAACGAATTAGGCGTAGTAATAAAAAAAGGTGATTTTATTGTTTTACTCATTTTTAAATGTTTTGGTAATAAGCCTTAAAATGTAGCCCCAAGTTTGGTTATCATAAATAAATATTTTGATTGCGATAACAAATTAATTAGTTTTAATCTTACTCTATACTACACACTTTTCTAAATTTCTCTCTAGCTAAATCTATGAAGGTTAAAATATTAAAAACTATCTTATGATATCTTTAATATCAGTTACAAATTCATTCAGTCTCTTCTTTAACATTACAAATACTGCTGTAGATAAACAAAAGTTAAACAAAACTTTTAACGCTGAATACAGTCCGAAACATGTTAATTTTTCCATTACATTGTTACTAATTCCTCTTTTTAGCACGTTAAAGGCCGTTGTACAAATCGCCTGTACACACAACAAAATTAAAACGGGATACAGAACAAACAAATCCTCCCTATTGTCGGACTAACGTACATTTGTTATTGCTCCTTCCACCTTACACGCAGGCATCGCGACGTATCTGGTCGTCCGTCGGGACTCGGGACCGAATGAAGGTCGACAAATATCCGGAAGTGGATAAATTCGCCTTTGGCAAATAGGACGAGAACTATCGAAGGATATTTGTGTAGGTAAGTAAAGCTTGACGAATAGTGAATAGGCTCTGCTTTAGACAGGACTACAAACGATACCGATGAGTAATTATGTTTTTATGCAACGGTAAAACTGTTCCAATTACCGAGCGATTTGTCACCGATATTAACGCTCTCATTCCTGCTGTAGTTTCGCCGATGAAACTAAAATCCGATTATCGACGTTTTTATCAGCAATCCGGCTTGTTTTAACACGTTTGGAATTGCCATCAATTCAATATTGACATCGAACGTACGGCCGAAAGCCCGCCACCTTTTCTAATTAAATTTAAATTGGTTTTTTATTTTAATTTCGGCCATTCTAATTTCGACTCCGTGCAAATTGACTTCGACGGAAAGCCCGCTTGATTTCACGTCGAATATTTCATAAGTTTGATTAATTTTTGAAATGGGACGATTGCATATGATAAAGACGGTGAAAATGATCGAATATTTGAAATTTTTTACTTATTACTAATAGGAAATAATGTGTTGTAATGCGTGTGGTATTTTTATTGCGCAACTTTAATTTCACTATTTTTTATCTAATATTGTTCAAGAGTGAAGATTTGATAATAATGAATTATCTTGCCATTGATTTAGTCGCACTTGAAAACCAAGTAAAAGGCAATCTCATTTAAACTGAGTTTTTTAACAAAATCTCACTTCAGTCTCAGTTGATACTCAGTTAATTTCGATAAAATGAATACCGCTTGTTGTTAGTCACTTTACAGATTATAAATCATATTTAAGTATGAACTTAGAAATTTGATTAGTACCTATTAATAAATATCTCTACAAAACGATCTTTAGTTTCTTTTAATTTTAAATATATCTTAATTAATACTAGAAAATATTCTGTTCGATAAGATTCGATTATTATCGGTCCCATCAAAAATGTAGCTTAAATAATTAAAACTATTATGCATTCTTGATATGTCGAAAAAGGCTATAAATCATACGTGGTTTTCGTTTTTTTTTGAATCAGTGAATATTGCTTTGAATTCCGATTATTTGATAAAAATGAAGTTAAAAAATGTCGAATGTCGAACATTCGTTTAGCTGTTGAGTAATTTTGATGAATGGTTGTTGGGTGAATAAACGGTCAATTATTCAAAATTCACTCAACTGACCCCTTTTAGCATGGAATTTTGCCATCGATTTTGTTATTAAGTATATTCCTCGAATACTTTGTGTGCTTTTTTCCGAAGCTTTTAGGAAGTTCGTATTGTTTGGGCAACAATTTTCGTAGACCACGGGTTTCTATTTAACCCAAAAAAACTTGCTTTGATTGAAAATCGTTAATTATAATAATTTTATTAGCGGAATTTGAGTAAGCAATATTTCATAAAGTATAATTTTTTCCACGCTCTAAATCAGCATCAATCATATTTATAATTACCACATTAATTTAACTTTTGTTCAAAGTTGGTGAGGCGAAAATATAAAGATCTGTTTCCAATTTACAATGTACGTCTAAATTCTATAAGCTTTTTGTTCAACAACGTTATTTCGTTTTGTTAGAATTTACAAACATACCTACATCATTATCGATCAAACAGTCCATTGTTCGAAATTAACGGATTACGAAACGTTATTTCATCCCTTATCCTTTCATAATACTGTTTTTGTGGCTCTCTTTACTTTTTTTTTTCATTGCCCGTTTCTTTATTATTCAAAATTCAAGCAATTAGTGGGTTTTATTTAATCATGAGGACTTATATTTCATTAATTCAATAATTATATTTTTAAATAAATGTGAGCTTTGCAGTTATCATGTACAAGCCCTTCGGTATAAAATAAATGCTGGAAAAGAGTATAGATATGATATATTATTGTTAATCTTAAGGAGAGAGCGACTGGCTGCAAAAACAACGTTAAATAAATAATGTTTAATGCAAGTGTTTTCTCAATAAACCCTTCGTTATAAAAGTTTCCGGAATGCAGAATATATTTTTCAGGAAAATTCCCGCAGCCGCGCTTGGTTAGACAAGCAAAATTATTTCACTAGAAAAATATTTGACTTTATTAGCTGTATTTCGAAGGTTGGCCGCAAGGAAAAATTGAAAATTATCATTAGATTATCGCGCTCCCAATTTAGCTAGTCTAATAAAATTTTTACGTAATATACAATGTGTGTACTTACTTGCAGGGGTCCCAAACGACGACACCCAATCCAGGACAATCGATTTCGTTGATAATTTCGCACTCTCTTCTGTCACATACGCAAGCCGGTGCCGTCAGGCCGCCACAAAAAGCTATAATAGCGACGAATGCTAAAGCGAAAACACTGTTCATCTTGTCCGGCAAAGAGCAAACGAATAAAGTTACATAATTTTCTCGAAATGCTCCCAACTAACACGCTACTACCTGTCCAAAAAGCGACTTAATTTATTCGCTTTACTACTAAATTCACTCTATTTTAATTGCTATTTACACAACACTTATTTAACTTATAAAGTAGATTCGTTTATTTTATAGTGTGTAATAGTTTTTATTATCTGAAGAATAAATTATTGCATTATTATTCAATTAGAGCCTTGAGTTATACAAATGTAGTTAGGCATATTGATGTATATTGTGATGACCAGTGCGTATTAAATTTTTAAGATCAAATATACCAAACATTTTATGATTTGTATAGCTGAAAGCTCACCTCGAAAAACCTCAAACCTGCTCAAGTCGAGCGGTGGTGAAGGGAAAAAAATTTCCCGGCGCGAAAAAGTAACTCCTCGACAATTCGAGCACGCTCATCCGACTCGACCGATTCTCCTCGAGGGGTTTTCACGTGTTTAGCGAGCCTTCCCGGACCGGGAATTCGCACGCTATCTGAAGCGCTCGTTGAGAAAAACGGTGCTCTACTGGGTTTTCCGCGATCGCCACTTCTTGCTCCGGAGCGTGCTTGAAGCTCAGCGCGGGGCGCTTGCGTCTTGCACTGGCCGTCGTTGGGTTAATGTACTGTTTTATGGTTTATTGTTTTTTTTTAAATATGGATGACCTGTCGGTTTGTGTGAAGTTGGGAATTATTTTCCCTGCTTGCATATGGATATGCCTTAAAAATTTATTTGTAATACGTACTAAAACATTGAAAAACTAGGTTATTTGAATTATTATCTAATTGAAATAAAGGTTACCAATTTCTAATTAAATTAATTATTACTAGTTATTGAAGTTGCAAAATTTATTATACCTAACATTATTTTATTCTTCCTCAGATTAGTGGTAATTTCACGCTATTGCAACCGGAAGGCATCACGCATTTTCTCTTTTAATCATTTTTAAAATCCAACAAGACAGTTTTGATAGTCTTGGAGTGTGTTTAGGTCTTCTTAAAAATCTTCTTAAAAAATGGGTTATACAGCATGCATGACTTTAGTAAGTATATTATTGTTTAATTAACAATTGTTGCACGATACTTCTCCATACATATAGGTGTACTTAAATGTCCATGCCGATAAGATAAAGATAAATAATAGATATCCTAATCGCGATCAGATAAAAAATCGCGTATTGTACAGTATATTTTTCGAAAAACCCGCCAGTTTCTATTTCGCAACAGATATAATTAATTCGTTATTGAGTTTGCTTTATTGGAAAATATTAGCGGGTAAGAATGTTCGGTTTCTAATTCATTATTTATTCAGTTTGTGAATTTTTAATATGATAAACACATCAAGAGCATTATATTTTTGTCTATATGTATTTAACTGTTATATTTGAATAAATATTAACGTACATTAATGCAATAAGCAGATAAATGTATTTATTAATGCATAAAATAGAATCGAGCTAAAAATATAGGTTCGTTTCTACGTCACTAATACACTTTTCAAACAAACTCATTCGTCAATTGGAAAATACTATTATCGTCAATATTTCCGGAACATCCATAAAATAAATAAAATAATATCCGATACGTTAGATGCTATATTTGCAAATTACTAGTCATATATACCTAGAACATTTATAGTATCCAAAAAATAATGCATAGCTTTCAAAATGGCAATTCCAAAATCCATTTATTTTCTTTTTTTCAAAAGAATATAATGTAATATGGATAACACTTGGAATCTAGTAGATAGAACTTAACCCTTTCTCTTGCAAAAATACTTTTAGTTATTTTTCAATTGTTAGCGCTCGTTTTTCTGTATTAGGGAAACTATGTACAAAAATTGTAGTATTCAAATGTAAAAATTCATTGCACAGAAGTATCAATATTTCAACTATCACCAAGTATGTATAACAGCATGCAAAAGGACATCAGCAAACTTCTAGAAGAGACACTGAAATCTGAAATATAAGAATTTCTATTCAGTCTGTACGGAAGTCTGAAACGTTAGGAACAGTTTCTGAAACAAATATACAATAGTTGTTCAAGCGGATCAAATTTTCAATTGTATCTGAAAAAACTATAAATGATAAAAGTCGTTAGGAAATGTTTTAGGAGGTATCGGATTGGCCATTGGCTGAATGTATTTAGGATGCGTGAGAGTATGTATATTATTTCTAGTTAAATTATTATACATCGAATGTAAAAATAGATTGCATTTACGTACTATATTTGATAGCTGCAGGCCAAATTATACGAGTTAACTACAATTCAGTTCATCACGTACACTATAAACTATACCTATATTTAAGATAAAATAAGGTTAGTAAATATGCTCCATGCATTTAGACTTGAAAGTGCGGTGGAAATTTAAAAAAAATTATTATTTTTATCCTAAAAAAGAGTAGGTAATTAATCATTTTTATAACTATAATGTAGGTAATAGATGTAGCAAGGAAAATGTAAAAATGCGTTCAATAATCCGGTATTAAAACATGTGACGTATAAAAATCAATATAACTAAATCAATATTTATGACCACTCAGAAGTTTTTAGTGAATAGCTTAGTCCTGAGGTACACGGGTCTACCCAAATTAGTGCAATGTTGCATTTAAAATAAAAGTGTAATAACAATTTCTAAAGTCAATAAAAATACCTTAATTTTACGTTTTAATGTAGTATAAGATGCGAATAGTGAGTAATAAACAAAAAGTGAAATACATATATTGATTAAATAGTGAAATATATTTGATAAAAGCAGACGCACATAAAAACCATTGTTAGTTGACTTTGTTTTGAGTGAGTGCATTTTTCCAATCGAAAATATGTACATTATCATATCATTAAATTATAAAATTATTTAAAGAAAATATGAACAAAAACCGTTTAAAATATACATATCTTCAAAACGGTACACTTGTCTGCATCACTATATGGAATGATTAGATTTTTTAGTAATGATGTAATAAAAAAAACATGATTAGATCCGATGAAATTGATCTATCGATGATAGACGCATTGTTTCATTTGCTAAAAAATGCCATTTGAATTGTTATCAAATTAAACCTCTTTTGAGTACCTATGTTGTACTAAAAAGATAGCTTTACTACAAATTCCACAGAGATATCATTTATTTCTTAATAGATGACATTCACGATTTGAAAAATTAAATACATTTATCTAAATCATAAACAAATGTGCCCATTTTCGTATATTTACGAAATAAACTTTATTAAATGCGTACTTATTTTTTTAGCTCATGATGAAAGAGCGAAAAGCTTACAATTTACAAAATGAAACAAAGAAGGCTCCTTTAGATGTGTAAGTATAATCTACGAATTAATCCGTCTAGCAATACTCATAAATTTTAATAAAACGTCGCAATTTCAGTGAATATTATAACGAGATCGGTATACAGGAGCCTAAAGAAAACCTCAAAAATGTATCCTTTATTCAAATGGTACGTACTCCTTAAATGTATCGTTTAATAATCCACTAAAAATATATTTTCTTCCAGTTTAGATACGCAACTAGATCGGACAAAATTTTAATAGCGATCGGTTTAACCTGCGCTGTCATCACCGGAATTTTGCAGCCCTTGAATACAATTCTTTTCGGAACACTTACGGGAGACATCATCGAATATGCTATGAACATACGCAATGATACTATGGACAAAACAGTAGTCCAAGATAACCTTATAAAATCCGTTTCATTTTTTGCTTTAATGAATACCCTGATAGGTGTAGGCATGCTCATATTCAATTATCTTTCAACCGTTACTTTCAATTACGCTGCGATGAAACAAGTAAGTAGATTTAACAATTATAATTAAAAAGAAGTGTTAACCAAAACATAATTAAAGAAATTTGTATAAACCGATGTTTAAAAATGGCTACAAACACAGCTTATTTAAATGTATTTCTTTCTATTGCAGACATTCCGAATTAGATCTGAGTATTTAAAAGCGATTTTAAATCAGGATGTAGCTTGGTACGATTTGAATCAAACAGGGGACTTTGCTAGTAGAATGTCAGAGTAAGTTCATACAGAATTCTTCACAAAGAGGATTACTAAATTTATTTTTTTAGTGATTTGTACAAATTCGAAGACGGCATTGGAGAAAAAGTACCTGTGTTTTTGAGTTTCCAAGTCGTTTTTCTAACTTCATTGACCATTGCTCTCGTTAAAGGATGGGAATTAGCTCTTATATGTCTGACATCCTTACCTGCCACGTTAATTGCGCTGGGAATAGTAGGATTAGTAAGTTTAATTACCATTTAATACCATAAAATGTACAAGATATGTTTTAGTTAACAACCAAATTAGCTAAGAAAGAGTTAGAAGCCTACGGAGCAGCTGGTGCTATAGCCGAAGAAGCACTATCTTTAATCAGAACTGTTACCGCGTTCGGTGGACAAAAAAAGGAAATAGATAGGTACAACAAAAATTTAGTGTTCGCCAGAAAAAACAACATAAAGAGGTCCATGTTCGGGGCAATAGGTTTTGGCCTTCTGTGGTTTTTAATCTACTGTAGTTACGCTCTTGCTTTTTGGTACGGAGTAAAATTAGTTTTAAGAGACAGGAAAGCCACTGATCCTGTATACACGCCGTCAAATATGGTTACTGTAAGTAATTTGATTGCATCAAATATGATTCAATAACTTTCAGGTTTTTCAATTATTTTTTTGATAAAATTCTTTCAGGTTTTCTTCAGTGTAATGACGGGCTCCATGAACTTTGGAATCGCATCCCCGTACATCGAAGCTTTCGGTATTTCAAGAGCAGCAGCCGCCAAAATTTTTAGCGTTATCGACCATATACCTACCATAAACCTATCCAAAAGAAACGGTGTCAAACCAAAATCGCTAAATGGAAATGTGGAATTAAGAAACGTTCATTTTCATTACCCTTCAAGAACAGACGTGCCAGTAAGACGACTATGTCAAATCTCATCACAAATTCAGCTCATTTATTATATATACTTTACCAGGTTCTACAAGGAACTAACATCAACATAAAACCCGGAGATACCGTAGCTCTTGTTGGTAGCTCCGGTTGTGGAAAATCTACTGTCATTCAACTGATACAGCGACTTTATGACGCAGATTCCGGAGAGGTGACTTATTATAAAATTCAACAATTTTCACCAATTTCAATTCAAATTTCATTAGGTTCTTATAGACGGGCTGAACATTAAAAATATAGATTTAACATGGCTGAGGCAACAAATAGGAGTAGTTGGCCAGGAACCAGTTTTGTTCGGTACCACCGTAATGGAGAACATCAGATACGGAAAAGACGGAGTTACCGATGAAGAAATCATGGAAGCCGCTAGAAAGGCTAATGCTCACAATTTTATCAGAGGCCTACCTAACGGATACCAAACGTTAGTGGGTGAGAGAGGAGCTCAACTTTCTGGCGGTCAGAAACAAAGAATTGCAATAGCTAGAGCGCTGGTGAGAAAGCCCACATTATTGTTATTAGACGAAGCTACATCGGCTTTAGACAATACAAGCGAAGCTAAAGTACAAGCAGCTCTAGACGCGGTAAGTAGTTAACAAAACCCCGTGTGGATTGACTATATTTTATCGAATTTAGGCTAGTACAGGTTGTACTACAGTAATCGTCGCTCATCGATTATCTACCATCCGCGGAGCAAATAAAATTATCGTTTTATCGAACGGAGTTGTCGTAGAAGAGGGTACACACGAACAGTTAATGGGGTTGAAGAAAGAGTATTTCCGATTGGTGACGGCGCAAGTTAAATCATTAGAAGCATTCGCTCAATCAAATCATGTCAAAGCAGAAACCAAAGCTCTCGTCGACGATGAAGAAATCATGGAAACAAGCGACTCCAAAGTAAGTAAAATACTTGTACCCTGCAGGTGTAAATCTAATACCATGTTCAATTATTTATATAAATAATTTATATTTTAAGGATATCGCCGATGAATCCGACGATTTTAGTGTCGATAACGATAGTTCATTTATAGAAATAATAAAAATGAACGCTCCAGAATGGCCGTACATTTTAGTGGCTGCGATAGGTTCTGTAATTATGGGATGCGGTATGCCAGTTTTTGCGGTATTATTCGGAAGTATACTTGGTGTAAGAAAACAAATCAATAAATGTCTAAATCAATATTAACATTATTCATTTCAGACTCTTGCATATTCTGATGAGGATTACGTACACTCTGAAACAAATAAATTTTGCCTCTATTATGTGATAGCTGGATTCATTAGTATGATATCGACATTTTCACAGGTAGGTAATTATAATATTTTCTTTTTCGAACGGAAAATTATATTAGCCTATTTCTTACAGTTGTACTTATTAGGAGTAGCGGGAGAAAAGATGACTGAAAGAGTCCGTGCTCAATTATTCCAGGCGATGATATCACAAGAAATAGGATTCTTCGATAAAAAAGCTAATGGTGTTGGTGCCTTGTGTTCCAGGCTTTCTTCAGAAGCTTCAAGCATTCAAGGCGTAAGCAAAAGCAATTATTTGGGATATAATTAAAATTAATATGTATATGAAATATAGTATATGAAAAGTTTTTAATTTTATAGGCTACTGGGCAACGTGTAGGTACTATTATGCAATCTTTAGCTACTTTTGGCCTTGCAATCGGTCTCTCGATGTATTACGAATGGAGATTGGGTTTGGTAACAGCAGCATTTTCTCCTATAATTTTGATAGCATTGTTCTTCGAAAGACGCAATTCGTCCGGACAAAATGACTCCAGAGATCAAGGCCTTCAAAAATCAACAAAAGTAACTTAGCAGCCCATTAAATGCCTGACATTAAATCATTATTACTTTTACTCTTAGATCGCCGTAGAAGCAGTTGGTAATATCAGAACAATCGCATCTTTAGGAGTCGAAGATAAATTCCATGAACTTTACGTTGCCGAACTAACACCGCATTATAAATCGTCATTGCGCAAGGTACATGGGAGGGCTATAGTGTTCGGAATATCCAGAAGTTTAATGTTCTTTGCTTACGCCACGGCGATGTATTATGGTGGTTATCTCATTAAAGGTGGACTCTATTACGATAAAGTGTTCAAGTACAGTGGAACTATTTTTATTAGTTTTTATTATTTATTATCTACGTTGTTAATGGCAAATATTTTTAGGGTGTCACAAGCGCAAATAATGGGTACAGTTTCTATAGCCAATTCTCTGGCGTTTACTCCGAATTTAAAAAAAGGATTAGTTGCAGCGAGAAAAATAAAACATTTCCTTAGCAGATTACCTCTAATTCGGGATAAATCTAATGCTAGAATCCTTAATAAGGTATAATATGAAATCCTAAAATAACGACTAAATTCAGTTAAAAATTTACAATTTTATTAGGCCGATGGTGTTATCAATTATTCCAATATTAAATTTTCTTATCCAACGAGACCTAACGTCGAAATTCTGAAAGGGTTAGGCTTAAATATTCCCAATGGCAAAACTATAGCATTAGTAGGAGAAAGCGGTTGTGGAAAATCAACCATCATCCAAATGATCGAACGATTTTACGACCCCAAGTCTGGAACCGTTAGTTTAGACGGCAATAATTTAAAGGACCTTTCACTAAATTCGCTAAGATCTTTCTTAGGTATCGTATCCCAAGAACCTAATTTATTCAACAAATCTATAGCGGAAAACATCGCCTACGGAGACAATTCGAGAGTAGTTGGCATGGATGAAATAATACAAGCTGCCAAGAAAGCCAACATCCACACTTTCATATCCGGACTACCTAGAGTAAGCTAAAAAACCATTAAATAATTAAGAATTCATCAAATTTGTGATTTAGGGTTACGACACCAAATTGGGAGAGAAGGCAGTGCAACTATCTGGCGGACAAAAACAGAGAATTGCCATTGCTAGAGCATTAGTAAGAAATCCGAAGATATTGTTACTTGATGAAGCTACGTCTGCATTGGATACTGAAAGTGAGAAGGTATAGTAGAAGCAAAATAATTCCATTATTTTCTGGCAACTAAAATATAACTCATCGAATACTGCAGGTGGTACAAGAGGCATTGGACGAAGCTAAGAAAGGAAGAACATGCATTACAATCGCTCACAGATTAACAACTATACAAGACGCGGATTTGATTTGCGTTATAGATCGTGGAATAGTCGCTGAGTCTGGAACACACCAAGAGCTGCTAGAGAAGAACGGACTTTATTATAAATTATACACGCAAAAAAGTTAAGCTTTTGATGAGTTTCAGAGAATTACTAATGTCAGCATTCACGTGTTCAGCATTGATCGATACTTTGAGATTAAATATAGTACCTATAGTTAATATTTTAAATAATTTATTTAATAAAAGAAATGAAACTTGATTTTTCTTTCTCTTAAAGACCATCCTAGCTTCCAAGATGCAAAAATTGCGGAGCATGCGGAGCAAAAATTTTTAACTAATATTACAAATTACATTTTTTCTAAAATATTTTTAAATAAACACTTCACTTATTCGATAATATCAAAACAATTATTATTGTACCTATGTTATCTACTAATAATTAACCATATCAATGCCATTCAAATTACAAACTTAGGTATCTTATCTTTAAATATGCCTTCTAGTTCTTTTTACGACAGGTGTGCGTAGAGTATATTGTCTTTCATGTGAAAATGGGGAAAAGTAAAAAATACTCGTTAAATGGGTTAGTAGAATTTTGATGAATAAATAATTGAATTGATTTATTTATGTTTGATGTTACAGAGAATTCATCAAGGCTGAAGAGCCACCAGCACCAGAAAAAAAGTCAATTTCATTTCTTCAAATGGTAGATATAATTGAAACTATTCCTTTTTTCTTTACACTATAAAACTATTTGTTTCAGTTCAAATATGCAACTAAATTTGACAGGTTACTAATTATCCTAGGAGTTTTTTGCTCGTTAGCCGCTGGTATTTTACAACCGTTCAATACAGTTCTTTTCGGTGGTTTAACTGGCGAAGCCATCAAGTATGGTCAATCCATATTGAATAAATCCTTGCAACCGAATGAACTACACAAAGTCCAAGATGAATTTTTGGATGGAGTGCGATATTTCGCTTTGATGGATACGATACTCGGAATAGCCATGTTGATACTCAGCTACGTTTCAACTGTTGCCTTTAATTTTACAGCTGCCAAACAAGTAAGATTAAAATAATGATAATAATTTGAGCAAAATTTAACGCAAGCTTATTTGTAGTCATTCAAAATAAGATCAAGTTATCTAAAATCCATACTTAATCAGGACATATCTTGGTATGATCAAAACCGAACAGGAGATTTCGCTAGTAAAATATCAGAGTATGTAGATATTAAAAATTAATTTATACTAGACCTTTAATGGGAATAATTTTACAGAGATTTGTATAAATTTGAAGATGGTATTGGCGAGAAAGTACCTATTTGCATTCAATCCGTCTTTTTTCTTTTATCTGCTGTGGTTATAGCACTTGTGAAAGGATGGGAACTGGCTCTTATATCATTAATATCAATTCCAATTACAGTAGTATGCTTCACGATAATAAATTTAGTAAGCAACTATTTTAATTGTAACTTTTTTTTGCTAATGATCAATATTCTAGTTAACAGTGAGACTGGCTAAAAACGAGGTAGAAGCTTACGGAGTCTCTGGGTCCATAGCAGAAGAAGTTTTCTCGTTGATAAGAACTGTAACGGCTTTTAACGGGCAGCAAAAAGAAATTGAACGATACAAGAAAAATTTAATCGTAGCGAAGGAAAATAACATAAGAAGATCGCTTCTTAACGGTATAGGATTCGGATTGTTATATTTGTTGCTCTACAGCAGCTACGGACTCGCCTTCTGGTATGGAGTGAATTTGGTTCTTAAGGAAAGAGACGAGGCCAATCCAACTTACACACCAGGAAATATGGTGACGGTAAGTGAAATAAAAGTTCATTACTTGATTATAAATGCACTAATTGTGGAAGTTTTAAATAGTTTTTTTGTATAAATCGTTTAGGTATTTTTCAGTATAATGTCGGCATCTATTAGTTTTGGTGCAGTGTCACCGTTTTTGGAAGTTTTCGCCATATCTAAAGCAGCAGCCTTTAAAATCTTTAGCGTGATCGACAACAAACCCACTATAAATTTGTCCAAAGGAAACGGAAAAAAACTAGAAGGTTTTAAAGGAAACATAGAGTTTAAAAATGTTAAATTCAATTACCCTTCTAGAGACGTGCCTGTAAGTTATCCACAAAACACTAAGTTAATAAATACAACTTCCACTTTAGGTTCTCCAAGGCATAAATTTTAAAATAAATCCCGGTGAGACAGTTGCACTAGTAGGAAGCTCGGGATGTGGAAAATCCACCGCCATTCAACTGATTCAACGTTTCTATGACGCTTCGTCCGGCGAAGTAATTACTCTAACTACCTAACTACTAGATAAAGTTAAGATTCAAAAAATACTTTCTACAGATCCTTATCGATGGAGTCAGAATTAACGAACTGGACTTAACATGGTATAGAAACCGCATCGGCGTCGTAAGCCAAGAACCCGTACTTTTCGGAACCACTATTATGGAGAATATTAAATACGGATGCGATGGAGTTACAGATGAAAACGTTATTGAAGCAGCTAAGAAAGCTAACGCTCATAACTTTATTAAGGGTTTACCGAAAGGCTATAACACGCTAGTTGGAGAACGTGGAACACAATTGTCAGGAGGTCAGAAGCAAAGAATTGCCATAGCACGAGCTTTAGTTCGGCAACCAACTGTGCTTTTATTAGATGAAGCTACTTCTGCTTTGGACAACACAAGCGAAGCTAAAGTACAAGCAGCATTAGATTCGGTCAGTACTTCCTCCTTACTTTTTATATTTTCTTCATTCGTTAAAAAATATTTGTAGGCCAGCGTGGAATGTACTACCGTTATTGTTGCTCATCGCTTATCAACAATACGAGGAGCTGACAAAATATTTGTATTGTCACAAGGGGTAGTAGTAGAAGAAGGAACCCACGACGAATTGATGAAACTAAATGGAGAATATCACAAACTAGTAACAACACAAGTAACAGACAACGAAAAATCAGAGGCTGGCAAAAAAATTAGCATCAGCAGTGATAAAGATGTTTCTGAAAATACCGAAGACCTGAACGTAATTTAAACATTCCTTAATAAAAACTCTAACACTTTTGTTTAATATTACATTGCAGGATGGAATTGAAGAAATCGATGATTTCAAAACGAACAGCAACACATCTTTATTCGAAATAATGAAACTGAATAGCCCCGAATGGCTATACATACTAATAGCTAGCATAGGGTCTACCGTAGTGGGTTTCGGTTTACCAGCGTTCGCCGTGATATTCGGTAGTATCTTGGGAGTAAGCATAAATATCAGTAACCGCAAATACCGACATTGAATTCGAATTTTTCCAGACTCTATCAGACGCTGACAATAGCTATGTCAGATCTCAAACCGATTACTACTGTCTCTGTTTCGTAGCGGCCGGCGCTGTTTGTATGGTCTCCGTGTTTTTGCAGAACTATCTCCTAGGAATAGCCGGCGAGAAAATGACGGAAAGAATTCGTACGCAATTGTTCACGGCGATGGTTTCCCAAGAAATGAGTTTCTTCGACAAAAAGTCTAATGGAGTCGGTGCACTCTGCGCTAAACTTTCAAGCGATGCGGCAAGCATACAAGGGGTATGTAGTGAATAAAAAACGACAGGAGAAACTAATTTAGATCTTTGTAGGCTACAGGACAACGTGTTGGCACGATATTACAATCATTAGCAACGCTGGGATTAGCAATAGGTTTATCGATATACTATCAGTGGAAACTAGGATTAGTAACAGCAGCTTTTGTACCACTAATTATATTTGCAATATTTGTCGAAAGAAGAAATACGTCAGGTCAAAACGATATAAGAGATAAGTCTCTGCAAAATTCTACAAAGGTTTAAAACATTGTTTGAAAGAAAATTCATCAATATAGTAACATTTAACCTTTTTAGTTAGCTGTTGAAGCTATAGGAAACATTAGAACAGTAGCGGGATTAGTATTAGAAGATAAAATCGCAGAAAAGTACATTAATGAACTTTTACCTCATTACAAATTATCTTCAAAAATCATCCATTGGCGTGGAATAGTTTATGGCCTTTCGAAGGGGTTAATATTTTTTGCTTACGCTACCACCATGTACTATGGCGGCTTTTTCGTTCGAGATGGCTTAAAATACGATAAAATCTTCAAGTAAAAGCTTCAAGCTAACTCATGTTATTAATGAAATTATTGATGAATGTACCGTTTCAGGATAGCTCAAGCGCAAATGATGGGAGTTGTATCTATAGCAAATGCCCTAGCATTCTCGCCTAATTTGACAAGAGGTATAAATTCGGCGAAAAAAATTAAAAGTTTCCTATCCAGATTACCATCAATTCGCGACGTTCCCAATTCGATTGTTATAAAAGAGGTGAGTTTAAAAAATCAATTATTATTAAATACGAGTAATTAGTAATCCTTTAAATATTATTTTTAATCCTAAAAATATAATATTGAAATATACATTCTAGTTTAGCGGGAATGTTTGTTATAAAAACATAGAATTCTCTTACCCGTCCAGACCAAACACAAAAATCCTCAACGATTTAAATATAAACGTACTTAGTGGGAAAACAATAGCGCTTGTGGGAGAAAGCGGATGCGGCAAGTCAACTATCGTTCAATTGATAGAACGATTTTACGATCCCAGTTACGGTGAAGTGCAGCTGGATGATCAGAATATCAAAAATATCAGATTGAATTCGCTGAGATCTCACTTGGGCATTGTATCTCAAGAGCCTAATCTGTTTAATAAAACCATCGCGGAAAACATAGCTTACGGCGATAACTCTCGAATTGTGCCTACAGATGAAATTATTCGAGCTGCGAAAAATGCTAATATACATAATTTCATAGCAGGTCTGCCGGAGGTTGGTATCTACTCGTATCTATTTATCAGGTTCGTTATTTAAAAAATATTGCAGGGATACGAAACTAAACTAGGAGAAAAGGCAATACAACTCTCAGGAGGTCAGAAACAAAGAATAGCTATAGCTAGAGCATTGATCAGCAATCCCAAAGTTTTACTACTAGACGAAGCAACATCAGCGCTGGATACTGAGAGCGAAAAGGCGACTTATTCTTTTTTGCACCATTTTTTTTTCTTCTAATATTCATATTTTTTAGGTAGTACAAGAAGCGTTAGATCAGGCTAAAGAAGGTCGTACTTGTATTATGATAGCTCACAGATTGACAACGATCCAAGATGCTGATGTAATTTATGTGATTAAAGCTGGAAGCGTTGTTGAATCGGGAACGCATAAGGAATTATTAGAAAAAATAGGAATATATTATAAGTTATATACCCAAAAAACATAATTTGTATACCACATTAAATAAATTAATTTATTTTAAAAATAATAGATATATGTTTTCTATAATTTCGGCTAGTTATCTTGATTTTAAGAACATTATGAAATTTGTACTCTATTCTATTATCAATCCTTTGTCTCCAACCTAAGTGCCCAAAAATACGTAGAAATAAAGGAAAGAATAGCAGTTGACTTAGATAATATTTATATCTAATAACAAATAACTGCACACTGCACTAATACATACAGGGTCACTCAGAGTAGAATTCAGTTTTCGTTTTCGATTGCACTGGGCAAGTTTGAAAACTGAAATCTACTCTGAGTCACCCTGTATTACAAAAATCATAAATGAATCTCGTGGACTAACCTTGAATTATTGACAACGACAGCATAAAACACAAAACTACTGTAGCCGCGCCCCGCGCCTGAACTTATAAGTTTATAGTGCCTAAACAGAAAGGAATAAAAGCAATTGAAGTGACATATTTGTATTAAATATAATTTTAAAGTCGTTTAGTATCCTGCCTTCCAACTAAAGTGTGCAGTAAGTATTTTTTATATACCTATTTGCGGCATTTATTCCACAACAACCATTTCATCTTGGATGTTTTAATAAGCTGTGGGAATCCCACAGCTTTTTACTTTCTATAAATGTATTGTCATTATCTAACTTCTAACTATAAAAATTCTATAAACCATATTTATATCTTTGTTATTATACATGCAGGGTGTTACTTGGACCCATTTTAAGGAATAAACTTCATATGAATCTATGTCCTAAACAAACGTTTTAACTTTTGAGATATATGGTGTTAAAGTTTTAAGAAAATAATCAATTTTTTGTAATAACTGTGATACTATTGTAGATATCTTTATGAAATTTGGCACGTCTACTATGAATCAAGATGCATTTTCTGATATACAAATAATTGTTTATTTTCAGCAGTGACGTCCGTACGGGTTTTGAATTGATTATTTTTGGAGAAAAAAATAGTACGCCACTGCCGAATATTAAAATAAAAATTATATTCGGAAACCCCATTCAATTAAGAACAAATTTGATTACTTGAAATTTTAGGTTTCGGACATATTTTCATACATATGAAGTTTTTTATTTGAACTGATCTGTCTATATACAAATCTTTGAATTCGTCTTTTAGAAAATGTCGTCATTAGAAGTGGACCTTTTTGATAAGTGCCCAATTTGTACTCAATCATTGAAGCCGCCCATAGGTCAATGCAAAAATGGTCATAATATGTGCCAAGAATGTATGAAACAAGCAAAAATAACAGAGTGTCCTATCTGTAAAGGGCCTCTTTCCGATACAAGAAATTACACTTTAGAGAAGCTCCTGACGATGATAATAGAAAGTAACAGAACTACTTGTATCTACCATCCGCAGGGTTGTAAATTTACTGTATTGCTGAAAGATAAAGAAGCTCACGAAGCTGAATGTAGATATCGAACATACTTATGCGAAGGCCACATATTTGCTAAATGGCCTTGCAGCTGGTGGGGAAATTATGCCAATGTATATCAGCATTTTAAGGACTCTCACAAGAATCATACCACTATGAATTTCAAAACGAAATCTACCATGAAAATTAATTTTTTGAACACTTACGATATTCAAATAATTTCACACCCTTCGCATTACTACTTTTATTACAAACACAAAGTAGACATGGAAGCTGAGAAGGTTTACTGGACATTTCAACTCATCGGTCTGCGAAGTCAAGCCAAACATTTTTATTACAGTTTCAAAATCCACGATGGTTGGAAGAAAATCGAAGTCATCGAAATGTGCCACAGCGATTCAGTGGATGCCGAAGAAATCTTTCAATCAGAAAAATGCGTCGCTATTTCATTTGCCTCTCTTAAGAACTTCTTAAACGATCAGCAAGAAATTTCTTTTGATTTTAATATTTTTAAGCCATATGTGCAAGTGGAAAATTAAATATTTTGAAAATTGTGTATTAAAATATGCTTTTTATGTATCTACAAAATATATATTGTTTGACTTACCTGTATTTTATCAATCACTATGTATATTTTCTTCATCCACACACTTTAAACACTTTTTAAAGTAACTTTAAACTTTAAATTTTTAAAAAGGACATATGAATAACTGTCATAAGTCATTTAAAATTTTTTGAGGACTTTAACTGTTAGATCAAACAGTCACGTTTCTCCTTTTTATTTCACTAAATTAAAAGAGAAGAGAATTGACCAGTGACATAACTGACACATGACATACCAGTCCATTTGACATTATCAATTTATCAAAAACAAATATTTACTTATACTTTATTTGTTAAATATTTCGAGAACAAAACTGCCTTGCGATAGATTTTCAACATGTTGGAAGGGTGGTATTGTCGCTCCATCGCTGACGAAACTGCGGCCGCCGAGGAAGAAGAACGAGCCCTTGAGGAATCAAAGTTTAAAAAAGAATACAAGTACCTGAAGAGGAAATTTCAGAACTTAATATACGTAAGTACCGCTCGTAATACTCGACACCGGCATTAACAAGACCACTTTTTAGGAAAACGAATCGTTTCAACAAGCTCTCAGACTAGCCCAAAAAAGACTCCTGTTGGTCACCCGAGACAGATCTTTCCTGTTAGATAGGCTGCTTATGCACGAAAAAGTTGACAACAGCACATCGGAATCGGAGGAAACTGAATCTTCAGATGAAGGCGATGTAGTTAAACCAGAACCAGTCAAAAAGTATGTTAGATATTTCATATTTCTTACACTATAATCAACTTACAAACTCGTTAGTTACTATCATTATTTTGCTATTTTAGACGGAAAGAAGTTAGCTCTCATTCGAATGTACATCACGTTAATTCTGGAAAGGTGGTTACAGTTAAAAGGAAAAGACCTCCGGCTCCGAGGCCTCCGAAACATCCGCCCCAATCACAAGCAATGGTAAAACCTGTTTACCTTATTACCACATTTATTCTAATTCAATGTTATTTAAGCAGTTGCAAATGCCGCCTAGTAGTAGTGTCTTGTCAGACGGCCACATGACTCCCGAAGAGGTCGAAAGGCATTTGCAAGCGCAAAGTTTCATGGAGTTTTTACCGGAAAGAGCTCCACCGACTGTACCTACTGAAATGTTCAGCAACGAGCCATCTCTCGACAGGTATTATATTTGTTTATTTCGCATTTTAGTATAATGATTGTTCGTTATTTTTAGTGAATCGAATGATCTTGGGGAACTTGAAACGTCGCCTAGTAATATTGGCGAAGAACTGAGTATCGATATGATTGTAGAATAGGATCTTAAGTAAGGTGTAAAAGTGTATTGTTTTGTACTAATAAATTCATTTTGTGGTACAATCACAATATTTTCATTTATACAGTTTTCACTGTAAATATCACATTTATACCTCTCTATAATCATTTAGAACAGTAGAGAAACATTTAAAACACTCCAGAAGCATTTAGACCGCTCCAGAATCATTTAGAACGCTCCAGATTTTTACTTTTAGAGGTATCAATCGTAAATAAAACTAGGTAGAAATTACCATTTTTTTACTTTAAGTAGCTTTAACCTTATAATTTTATCACAGGACTGCATCTTACAAAAAAATCTAGTCGATACAAAACTTTTAAATGGCACTTGTACAACACACGAAATCATTTTAAATTTTATTACACAGTAGGTAACTCTCGATTAATAAATGACTAGCGTTTACGAAAAGAAAAACAATTTACACCTTACAAATAAATTAAAGAGATGTTTAGAAAAATGCGTAGCTGGAGATATGTGAAATGAAAATGTTGATGCCGCAAGGATTCGATATTTTACATTTTTCTAAAGAGTCTCTATTATTAAAGACTACCACTTAAAGGAATTAAAGATTCAACTAATGAAATACTTCACGCCTTACTGATAGAGATAATTAAACCTTCAATAAATATACCGAAAATACCATGAAATCTCTAGAGCTAAGTTTCTTAAACTACGTAATTGTAAAAAAACTTTGGAACTCTTTGGTTAGCTTTGATCTGATAAATTTAATGAGAAAATGATCCAATTATCAATACGGGATTGTATTGTAATATTTTGCTTCTATAGCAGCAACTCTTTTCTCATTAAATTTATTTACAAAAACATATTCTTATAAATTAATCAGTTGTAAATGTAGGAACACATCTTTAGAAATGCCAATAAAATTCGAATGTTTTCTCTTGATAAAAAAATATTCGTTTACATAGTATAGGAATTTTTAAAATACTTCCAAATTAAATTTAGAATCAACGAAACATATTGAAAATATTTCAAAGCAAAGTCTGGTGGAACATTAGCCACACGAGGACTTTTAGTTTCCAAAAGAAGCAATACAATCGCTTCGTTAAATGTTTATAAAAATATTGTAATCCTAATAACTTAAATATTAATTACTAGTGGAAGATTAACTCGTCGAGGTTTTCAGCCGGTGCAAACTTCTGAATGTTCGTCCCAAGCATTCACCTGAAAAATGCGCCTTGTAAGTTCTAGTCTAAATAAATTTAATTCTCGCAGTATACCTGGCAATCGCGGCTGCAATACCATTGGTTTCCACAACCAGCGCAAACGAATTGCGCCGGCTTTTGATTGCAACCTTGGCACAAAGGTATGTCGTCTCCGCCGTCGGAATTGTTATCGGAATTAGTTTGCTTTTTGGCATCGACATCGTTGTTTTCGTCTATCACCAGCCTATCGGCGCTGTCCTCGGTTTCATCTTCTTCCTGCAAATTACGAATGTGTTTACACAATTCACCTTTTCTAACGCGATCGATTTAATTCAATTAATCCCTTTCTTCGAGCTTTGTTAGAGAAATAGTCAGTTTCCTGTTTACAACACCCACAAGAGGATTATTGTTAATACCACAGTGTGACCTTCGCGATACCAAAAATTTTACTTTCCAATTCGTTAAACTCGTTTAAAAATTAATTACCATATTTTTCGCTTTTATTTGAGTCGATTCATATTGATTGTCCACTGGAGTAATAGTAATCTCATTACAAGCCTGAAACATACACAGTTAATTTCTTTAATGTACAACTGCACAATTTCCTTACCTTACTCGTTGACAATATTTCAGATATAGACATATTAGAGGAATGAAGTGGGCTATTGGAAATCGGAGACGCTCCCATTGTTGCATTATTAGCGCTTCTTTCAGGAGCAGTCAACAATCTGGCCAGCGTGGGACTAAACGACGTTTTTGAATTTTGTTTTGAAGGAGTCTGAAAAACCATTATTAGCACTGTGGCTTTTCAATCGAGAAGAATCTCTAGCTACCTTCGTTAGAATGCCGTGCAAAAGGGAAGAATTGGTCTGAGCCGGGGGCGGCGTCGACGTAGGGACTGGATGTACTGTAACCTCAGGATAAGGTGGAGGAGGTTTAATGGCATTTTGGATCAGTTCGTTCCGTTCGTTTTGCGACAACTTAGCGAATTGCAGAAGCATATCTTTAAAAGATACAGTGTCCTGACCAGCAGAAGGATCGTAATTTTGCAATCTAGCAGTATCTTGGCGACCCTGATGGAATTTTCAATAAATTTTCGTGATTAAGCACGTTTGAAGTACTTACCATATTAATGGAATTCAGCAGAAGCCCGAGGTCGTTGGAGACATCTCCCTGTCTGACTTGGGCGCCGCTACCTAGAGCCATAGAAGAGAAATTAATAATACTATTGTTCATCTTGTTAATGCCGTCGTTTTGGGAACATCTAATCCGTCGTCCTCGACGTGGAACAGATTCCGGGTGTCTTTGTCGATAATCCGCTATAATAGACTGCACGTCCAAGGTAAGCCTCTTACCTTGCCCGTTTTGATCAATGGTCGGAGACCTATGGGACAATTTCTGCCTGTGGAAGCCGCCGTTGACGTTCGCGAACGATTTCTGTTGATTGGATTTGAGAATGCTCTGCGGCGAAGCGTTCCTTATTCGCTCATCAGTCGTCCCGTTTTGAGATTCGTTCATGAAGTCGCCGTAGTCTGATTTTTCGTTGATTATTAGTATTTGCTTTTTCCTTTGCATTCGAAGAAGGAGCTCTTCTTTGAGTTTCTTGAGGTGGATAATGTTGTTCCATTCTCTTTCCTTTTCCCTGGCGAATTCGTTTAGTGTTTTTATCTCGACCAGGAGCTGTTCGCTAAACGAATTTATTTGGTCTAAATTGGTGCAATCCGCCATGTCTATGAAGTCGTTTATTATCTTATCTCGGGATAGGAAGTTTTCTTGTATCTCCGTTTTGAGTCGCTTTATCGGATAGTCCGGATTATCCGATTTTCGTTTATTGTTATTATCCACTTTTGGTGAACTGTTGTCGCTGTAATTCTCATCTTGCACCTCGTTGGTATCGTTCTCCTCCTTCACTCCGTTCGGCACGGTTTCGATTTTGGACTTCTCCGTCGAAATCTCCTCTTCAATTTTCTCTTCTTCTTTCTCCTCTGACACCTCGTTGTCTAATCCATCTGATTTCGTTTCCGTCTTCACTTGCACTTCATCCGCCCTGCCATCGGCCTGGCCCGGAGACGAGGGCTGCACGTTGCCGCCTTCCACCACGTTCTCCATGATCTGCATCTTGTTCAAACTGAAAAAGAAATGTTACAATTTGTATCGAAATTGAATTATTAATTATTGCTAATAAAATGTTATCTACTTCACGAGGATGAGTGTGTAATTTCGGGAAAGAGCTTAAACTCATTATTCTCGGAAAACGCTGTTGTTTACTAAGGTGCAACGTATTAGTAATGTTTCCGGTTCCTCTACTACATCGACTGACCTTCCACAAATACCTCCGTCGAGTTTATGAAACAGGTGTACGGCATAACGAAGAATCGAGCACAATGCACCCCGACTGGTAAGAAATTATCCCGACTACAAATCAGCAAGCGAGCCAGCCCGTGTCGCGAACACGTGCAACGCACTTTGACGCGAGCGGCGTGCCACATTCGACGCGCTGTAGGAGGGAAACGAGAACGTGGAGACGTGGAGGAGAAAGGGAGACCCGCAATAAGGAGTAGGTACGGAGCGGCTTGCAGTGCGGAGGTCGGAGGCGGGAGGCAGGCGACAATACGCAACTAGGTCGACGAACAAAAATTACAAACGGACCTTTTGGAGAATTGTACTACGGAGCAGCGGCGGTGCCGCGTAAAAATCTATTTTAAAACCAGTGGTGCCTGTTATTCTTACTACGATCTCTTCTTCAATAATTCTATTATTGAATCAACTTCACTTTTTTCCAAACATCCCAAACTAGTAACCGATTCAAACAGAAGCGTCGATCAAAACGGAATAGTTGGTTAACTGAAAGTCAATTTCAGGAATGAGACATACGATATGTAGAAACAGGAATTGTTGATGCGATTAATGCGCCTACCGAGTATCGAACATGTAAGTGCGTTATACGGGGATTGTTCTATAAATAATCGGCCGTGAGATTTGCATAGCTAACAATTGGGTGTTATTAACACCTAGCGCATATAAACAAAGTTCGTGTTTATGTCAATCGCTCGAGTTTTGTAATACGCAATGTCGCTAATTGAAAAATAAAAACATTTCTACAACAACCTGGAGCACGAGCGATTATTAATAAACGCAATAACAATAAACACCGCGACCGATAAGTGTAGGTAATTTTAAACATGTCGAGCATCTTAAACTTTTACAATTAATTATAATAATAGGAAACCTAAATTTTTCGCTTCCTGTCGTCGACGGTAATCAAAGAATCCGTTCGAAAGGAAAGCGTTATACGCATTATATCGCGGAATGCTCGATAGCCGGATTGACCAGGAAAACCCGAGGATGGGACGCTAAAGAGGGGAGCCGTTGATCGCGCCCGAGGTTAACGACCTGCTCGTCTGGATAAAAGTTCGTCGTCCAGACGCGAAATTAAAACCGCCACTTACTCTTCGGGCAGTCCTCCGGAGATTCTATCCCGTCGCACGGCCGGCACCAAACCCACCGCCAGCAGAACGGCGATGGCGCTTTCTTCGACCGCCTCTTCCTTCAGGAAATCGGTGGGCAAATTCCTCTCCGGGACGGCGCCTTTCTTCAACCGGCATCTACTGGGCAAGCCTAAGATTTCGTGTTGGACGTCTCGCTCGTAGCTTTCGTCGGTGAAATGGCGCGAACAAATACGCGCGGTGGAGCAATTATTTAATTGTTTTCCGCAGGCTTGTAACCAATTCGCGCGGGTGTTGGAATCGCCGGGAAATCTGTGATAGCGGATCGAACCGCCTTTGGTCTTTCTGTGGGTGCTATTACAACCCACTACAGCGCATTGAGGCATAACTTAAGTCCATTTGGATACTTATCTGGTGCTCTGCTAATTTTTGTTCGAATTGGTGGTTTAGGAAACACGATTTTTATTTTAAATACCGTCTAGGTGTTAGGTGTGAAATTCTTGCTTATGATAAACCCTTTAAACGAGAACGTGCGTATTCAATGACCTACTAGCTTATCTTCTATATACAGTATATACTGTATATACTTTTAAAACAAACAAACTATTTCAATATGTTACTTTGTAACCTCATTTTAGGTGATAACTAACGACAACGGTAGCGAGTAACCTTAGGAATTAATCACAACAAATACCTCTTGTCGACAAAAATCGAAAATTAAAATTTAATAAAATGCTTCCTTGGATTTCTCACAACAATAGTACGTTGCAGTTACGTAAATATTTATGCATTTTCGGATGCAAGCAAAGCTTTGTTCTTGATTGATTTTAGCTAGATAAACTGTAATATTATATTTTAAAAGTACTGCATTTTTCAAGTTATTTTACGAGATTATGGAGGTCGAGCTAATTGAACGATTAAAAAGAAAGAACTAAAGGTCATAAAGATGGTGTTTTTCTATAATGAATTTACCTAAGCGAGAAAGAATTTGTGTATGGCATTCTAAAATTTACTATAGTTATTTAAATCACGCGGTATTATGTATCAGGTTTTATTTTTTATCAACAATGTGGCCTTGATTTTTTCGAAATGTGAACTCTAATTGCACAAAATATTTCATTGATTGCAATGTGGAAAGGACGAATGCGTGTAGGTATTAAATAGTAAAATTAATATTGCAATTCCTCAGTCAAGGCTACTTTAGAGTATTGAAAAAGTAATGATTGTTGACCTAGCTAACACCTGTTTCGCAACAAATTTTTCTATAATTTAAGAAAACTTGTTGAGGTTTGTTTCAAATTCACTGTCAGTACGATGTCATTATACTGAAATTAATTCGTTATTTAAAAACCTCGTCGATGAACATGAAAATTGCATTCAATACCTACAATCACTTTATCATTAACAGATTCACCGCAATCGCTTAGCGATAAAAATTGCAGTAAAGAGCCGATAATGATTCCTGGGAATCATCGATATTAATGCACGAAATGCTCGACATTTTCCTAAATTGAGTCATCAGAATAACACAAACAAAGCCAATAAATTCCAATCACCGACACAAAGGGGTTCCCTAAACCACCGAAAATTCGATTCGCCGCATCCACCAAAGGATCCTACCGATAGCAGAAGATTATAAACAAATATTCTCACGTGTTACTGGCCACAATGGCAAAGTCCAAGGCAACGCACGTAAACGAGAGCACAACTTTCAGCACAACCTCCGCATGCAACATCGACTACGACAAGCGAATGGAGATGCCGACATCGAGCTTCGAGCAGACCTAGACCGCGTAGTTGGAGTTGCGACGGTGGTCCAAAAGCCGCACCCCACCAAGCAGTGAGCACCGGTGACGTCATCGGCGACGGTTTCTCCGAGCAGCGTTGTCACGACATCGAACGCAATCAACGATATAGGGACTTTTTTTTAGCGCAAATCCCCTTATCGGCCGAACGAGAAATGATGAACCGACGACGCCTGAAACACCGGCAGAGGAAATGGGTGGATCGCGAATAGATTAGAATGCCGCTACCATCAAACCGACGCTTGAATCCTTTATATTGTACGACTAAACATTTATTACCAATAAAAATGTAGATGTATACCTCAAACCTCAACGGTGTAACAAGGAATCATATACAACAATCGGCAACGCCGCTGTTTAAATGCCCATCGATTGATGTAATTACACCCGAAGGGATGAGAGAACATTGAAGTTGTTGCTGCACTGCACGGAACCGCGTGCTTCTCGCTTCTCCTTTCCTGATTATTCCCGATATCGAGATGCGTCACGGGTAAATGCAGGCGCGAGATGGACGCTCGAAAATATCGAGTTGGTATAACTGTTAACTATAATCACATCCGCAGCTAAATTAGAACGCCGGTAACCTTGGTGTATTCCAATAGTACATTCCAGGAAGTTAAAAAAAACGTTTGAGTATTTGGAAAAGCTCAGAAATAGTTATTGAATGCCTTCGTACCTAATAATGAGCAGTTTGTATACCTAGCGCTGATAAAAGCTAAAAATAGCACAATTTAAATTTCTACTATCTTGCAAAATATTATAATCTTAGTCAAAGTAGAAATTCCAAAATTAACTATTTCTTCCTATATAAGATAGCAATTATGTTGTTTGCCAATGCCTACAAGATGAGATGAAAACGGACATTACAATGATATATGACACAAAGAATTATTTTACGCAAAATGTTAATGCAGTCTGCGACGGGTCATTAAACCGGCGTTCTTAATAAACACATGCGAGATAGCACGTAAAAGTTTCGAGTAAATCTTTCCTATTCCCAGAAAACTGTTAATGAAGAGATGTAATTTTTAGGTGAAAATTCCTGATTGAAATAATTAAAAAATGTTGTATACAAAACTTGCACTTTATCCTGGTGTTTACTTAAATACATAACACAATCTTTTCTTGAAAACGGCCTTCAAATACACCGCATTTATATGCAACAGACCTTCAATTTATTTTAAATTTTTAACTAGCTTAAAAGATAAGGTTTTAAACGTACTAATTCAAAATGCGCGGAAAATTTATCTGCATAGGTGCTATTTCGACATTGGTGTTTAGCAGAAAAATTATTTCACCGAAATTTATTTATCTTCTTTAGATAGTTACCACTGTATAATATTTTGATAAAATTGCCATTAAAAAATGCAGGTACTTAGTAGTCGAATTCACTGATAGTGCATTAATTTTATCAACATTACGTTCGAATGTACGTAGATTGTTCAAAAACATCCCATTAACCTACATAAACTAAAACAAGAAACTTCAAATTGATAAGATAATGAATCTTTCTATATACTTTCTTATCGCTCACGAACCGTACACTATGCTTACAATGTGATAGTTTGAACAATTTTCCAAGGTTCTTAGCAGGGCACAGTTTTCATTTTGGAACCTTGAACCCATCGACGAGTCCAAGCTAAGCAGCGAACTGAAGTGGCACGAGGCCAAATTCGTACAGCAAACCACATAATTCAGTGTGCGGCAAAGCAACTTTAACCTCTAAATAACCTTTAGCTGGCCTCAGGGACGGGCAAACAAATTCCGTTTTCCATTTAATTGAACATACTTTTCCAAATGCTAAAGTCCGTGCTGTTTAAAAAAAAGCACAAAGAAGCTCTGCTAGTAACTTTCCACAAGAACACTAATAGGCACTAGCTTTTAAATGAATTAACAGCTCATTAGGTAGGATTTAGTTATTTTAATTATATACATAAATTTCTTAGTAATGCACATTTTCCAGTCAATGCATCTTTGATGCTCCGCTAGTTCACCCCGAGATAACTTTCGAACAACTCGCTAACTTGTCGATAACATTACAGTAAAAAGCAATGAGAACAAGTTTTCCTAACAAGAACTAAGTTATACTCGCTTATACTAACAAGATAATTATAATGTAACAACAAAATTAGCAAATGGTAAAGAAATTATTAATTTTTACAGATAATTTACTCTGGTAAGCTTACCTGTCGCCGTCGTCCTCGATCATACCGTTGAAAAATTCATCCAGGTTAATTACTTCGGAGTAGCTGTTCTTCTCGTATTTGAGTTGTAACTTGGCCATAAACTTTAGTTTGTCAGAAAATTTTTCGGGTTGATCGGAAAGTCTTTTATTGTTAACTTTTTCGGTGAAAGAATCGCTTAGTGATTCAATTGATTTCTTCTTCGCGATTCTAATGCTCGATCTCATTGGTCTTCTTTTAAATCTGTTATTGATTTTTTCCGGTTTAATACACGATTCTTCATTAGATGTCCTATTTTTTGTATTTTTATCACTTTTTAACAAACTTCTTTTCGAGTTACCAGTTTGAGTATTAACGGAAATTGTTTTTTCCGGTGAGTCCAATATAATAATTTCCTGGGAACTGTCGTCGGTAGGTTGTTTTTTGCAAGAATTGTTATGCGTTGTATTATTTTGTTCACAAAAATTCGATCCATTTTTGTTTTTCCACTTTTCGTAATTTTTCGATTTCATAGCCTGCCTCAAACCAGGAAGTTCTTTTATCACGCTCTCTCTTCTTAATATCGGTTCTTCAGTTGTAATATCAATTACAGTAACATTACGACTTATTTTCTTAGCGATAATATTCCCCGCTGTTCCATTCGATAAGACAATTTGTTGTTGTTTCCCTTTAAATTTGTTTTCCTTGGTCTTATTTTTGTTGCATTTCTGAAGTTGATCGACATTAACCACGGCCTTTAGCACTTGCTTCTTGGTTTTGCTGCATTTAGAGGGCAAATTCAAATCCGGCACGGCGTCCGGCTTCAATTTCCTCCGCAATGGCAAGCCGAGCAACTCGTGCTGCAAATCTCTTTGATAGCAGCTGTCGGAAAAGTGAATACTGCACACTCTGGTGTGGGGCGTCGGTTTTTCCCCGTCGTCTCTGCACAAATTGATCCACTTGGACATAATTTGAGGCGACGTGGGGAACATGTGGTACATGATGTTGGAGTTTTTGCGGGTTTTTCCATAATAGTTCGAACACGTCGACACGAAACAATGCGGCATCGATAACAAAAGTCCTAAAATAAATTTTGCATTTCTAATATAAATTGAATCAATAACACTAACAACAACAACGACAGGATAAATTATAATACAACACTACTTTCACAATACTAATATAAAAATGAAAAGAACAGTAAGTACTTACTTTTAGCTGTTAATTTAGAAAAACTTGTATGAAACGTATTTATTTTCACTTCCGATATCGCACAAGTCTACTCGACTATGAAGGGATAGAATTCACTGTGATGCACAAGCTCGTGCTGCACCAATATGACCCTTAATTGTAGAGAGTGTTAGCAACGACTATGAATGCTTTCGAAAGCTGGGGCTGATGCCCTTCGTTTAAACCACCCCCTTTTCAATTCTTTCCCCTCAGCCGATCTGTGAACCGTCGTGACGTCAGCCGGGTACGAATTTAAACCGTATACTGAACGTTGAAGTCGGGCAGACTTTGGGTTTTTACCTGCTACGATTGTTTTTGAAAAAAGAATTTATCCGTTCTTCGAATCTTCGATTGGCGTTTAAAGCACCATTTGGAATTATTGTAATTAGAATATAATAGATCACGAATTATAAGTTAGGGTGATTAAAAAATTGATGGGTTATAGTATAGTTCATTTATTGATGGGGTTGTTTGGTTTATTGAACTCACAATAAAATGTTGTTGTTGATACTGAAAGGGTTACGTAGAGTTTTTCATGGAAATAATAATGAGTTTAACGCTCTGTATACCTAATATACACAACATGAAATATAGTACGAAAACAAAAATATACCGGGAATCTCAAATTAAAATGGCGATATATACGGATGCAGGGATGTAGGAAAATATTTTGGTATTTGGGTTATTTATTGTGTGAATAAAAAGTTATAACATGAGAAAAAATTCATGGATGTAATATTGAATAGAAACTCACCATTTAATGCTCCGTTTCTTTAGGGTTTTGATAATGTAATTTTTTTTAGGGGTTGATTTATGTGCGGCGAATTTCGCCTTCACCCCCGATCGATTAGTCAATAGGTCATTATCGGGCTTCTCGTTATCGTTGTTAGTCTCAATTCTAATTTCCAAAGGTTCCTCCGTCTTGAGAGATACGTGCTCTTGGCTATTGTTAGTATCATCTAGGAACTCGTCAGTCTTATTGTTTCCCGCCAAATGTTCATTTGCAGCCTCCTCTTGCGTGCAAACCTCAGAACTAACATTAATAGTACTATCCTCCGGTTGGGCAATTGGTGTTTTTTCGACGTCGCCCGAAGACGTTTTCGCGATTTCGTCGCCTTCAGCCTCGACACAGTTACTATTATTAGCTTCGAAATTGTTCTTTAATATCATTAACGCGTTATCCGCCATTTTCATTGTTATTTAGTCCAATAATAATAAATATTTACCGGATTCATATTGGTAATGCACCACAACGATTTTGCAATCACTAACACACATGTTTTATTGTAAAACGCCGTTCGTTGACTTTAAATGTTTATTTTATAAACAACCACAGCGATTTCGTACGACTGAATATTCACGGAATGGAAATATTTATCGATTAGATTGTGCTATTTACATTTTACAGAGCTCCACTGCGTTGTAGTTATTGCATTTTCACCAGAGCGCACTCCCGACATCTTTCGTTGCGTAACCAAAACTTTATATCACAATGATTTGAAATCTCTGTATGCTTTTCAGACAAAACTACCAGAGGTCTCTTATAAGCAGCTATTTCTTAATTGTAGTGCCTGTATTCCTTTTTTTATGTGCCTATGTTTGTACAGTTAGCAATTATTCTTTGTAGACTTTCGCTTCAAGGTTTTTACTAAAACAAATACGTTCCTGGGAACACAAAGTAAAAAGATTTAATGATAAAAATGCTTGCTGAATGCAAAATAGGTGGGCTCTTATTCGCATTGTTGGCTCGAAGGACCTTTTTTTATCAACTTTATTATTACTTACTACGGATCTTACCTACACATCTAGGTATTATTATTTTAGAACGAGTTTCTAAAAGATCTTTGAAAAGCTTCTTTGTTTTGAAGTTCATTTGAGCTTTAATACACCTTTATCCGTATGAATAATATTTACTCTACTATCACCCTATAGTTAGTGTACTATAAACTAATTTTCTACAATTTATAGTATAGAAATTACCGATATCCCGCTGTGTATCGAGTGAAATGTATAATTTAATTGCGTTTGGAATGTCTTCTTGATTGAAACAAACGGCTTTCAGTTTTCCAAGCAAAGTTATTTCGTTTCGTGTCGTTCGCACTCAAATTTCTCAATGAAATTCCGAGCACTTCACTTGTTGCTCGAATTATACAACATTTCCCATCTAATAATTTCCACGAAGAATTCCAAGTTTTCGCTGTACTTTTGTTTTGAACATGAAGAGTTGTAAAATTAAGCGTTCCAAGCGACTGTCGAGTGTAGAATGAAATTGTTTGCAGTTTTTTTAGCAAAAATTATTTTTATCGTGCTTTAAACACGAACGTGCTTGTGTAAGTTATAAAATTGCAGGCTCTTCTGTTGTGAAGATTGTTGTTTACTTCCTATTCAAACGCCAAACGATGCTTTTAGCATAAGAGACATTTTTACAGCGCTTGATTTTCTACACGGTTCATTTGCCTCTTGCTATTTCTCCATTATTCTATCTCAAAGAATTCCTTTCGATCGTCTGCATTATGAATATTCAAATTTCAACTTTTGTCACGCTTATCTCAAAATATTTCGTGTAATCCTCGGATGAATTTATCGCAACTTATAATACCGTGGGACGATTCACAATTAGATTTATTTTTTTCTTAGTAATAGAAAATAAATTCGAAGAAACCATTCCTAACAGAAACGTAGATTAATTTATTGGATATCTATTCCACAAAAGCAGCAAATGTGTTCATTCATCTGAGTTTATCGTTTATCGTTAAGGTTGTATGTGGGTGCTTTTTGTTTACATACTTATTAGAATGACAAAAATGACGCAATCTACAGAAATAGATATTAAATTATGAATCAAAAGCGGGTATTAAGATAAGCAAAGTATTTATTAGATCCTGTATCATTCAGAAATAAACCATTACTGTACCAAACAGTACGCTCTATTGTAAAGAATGCTGGTCGAAAATCTGAATCAGAAACAAAAAATGTATAGTCTAGCAACTCCCCGATGTAGTGACGTCAACATCAGATTAAATTGAACGTACTATATACAAGAAAGTTTGTGATGCACGTTCAAAGATCCACAAGAATTATTGTATAAATATTATTGATCTTCACGAAACTGAGTATAAGTACTTCGTAAGAAATAAGTATGGAAGATTCAATAAATTCTCCTGAGAAAAGATTGTTTGGTGCGATAACTCGATAATCGCTCACGAGAGGTAGGTGAGTAACATCAACAGCACATACGCCGTAAAAAGAAGGAATTTTTTAGCAAAGTAATAATATTTAGAGGTACCTTATACGTGATATTTAATTATTTTACGATTCCATTGTTGTATTCACAAAAGCGCATATTAATTTATATAATATTAATGAATATACAAAAAGATCCATCTCTGTAGGAAGGTGCAATTAAAATTTGCATTCAAAATTTTATTGAACATTTACAATTTAAATTAAAACTGTAGTTCTTATCTTGGTCCTTTTAACGACTGAATTTCTGCATGCTTTCGAGCAAAAAGCGATGTCGATAGGGTTGCGTTCCGGGTGTAATATACCAAACTTACTCCATAATTACTCTAAATACTCACCGAGTAATTTCACCAAATTGTGAAGAATAATAACAGTGTCCTACCGAAAGTCCGGATGTTATGCTGCTTAGAAACATCGTCATTACCGATAATATCTTCCTTCGTTAACTTAATTGAAATTGAACTATCTTCTCACCGAATTTTGGGCCTTAAGTAGACATTTCTCATTACATAAGAAGCCAAGCAATTCAGTTAACAAGATTAAGCTGTAAAAATCAAGCAATTCCCACGGTAAACACCACCGTATTTACCAGAAATATTTTATTAACGAATCAATTTCGTTAATTGAATTAACGATTTCAATACATGGACGAAATGCTGAGATCGATAACTGTCCTCGCTATTAAATAGATATGCCCTTCAAAGATATTTAAATTAAATATAACTCCGACTGTTCTGTTCCACAGAAGGGTCTTCCAGAATAGATTATGATCCAAATGACGCAATTCGCTCGGTAGGAAGTTCGAATTAAAAACCGACCTATTTTATTCGACGGAATCGATACATTCGTCAAATAAAAAGCTTCCGTGTCGCGGTTAAACTGATTTAATTTAACGCCGGATTTTCCGGGCGGATCCTTCCCCACAATGGGACCGATTTCAAAATTAAATTTGAGTATAAAACAGTAGGCTCGTTTAATTGGTAACCTCGGGCACCTAGGGCTCTACCTGAGAGTACGCCACTGTTATAAAATATAATATTAAAGCAGTTCTTGCATGGCCTTGACAACGAGACGCACAACAAATAAAGTCAGATTGTATCTCCCAACCCACTCAAGGTCTACAAGGGAGTGGTTGAGGAGCCCTCGGTTGCCGGTGCATAAGGGTGATTTTTCTTAATGCACGGTACACGCAACTTACCGAAGGCATTTAGTTCCGCCAGTCTCGCTTCTTCATTGAGTGATTCTACTACCCGTAGGTTCGGATTCCTTATTTAGCGAGTACCGAGGCAGTAGCAGGACTCGCAGGGAATCCGTCCGAAACTGCTCGGGATCGCCGGTTTGATATGATTGCAGCGGTAATTAAAATGTAACCTGCAACTCGATGTAATCTTTAATTATCTCTGCGTTTTTAGTGCGCTATAAATAAGGCCTAATTTAGTGAAGTAGTTGTGTTATTATACTTTATTAGCCGTAATTTTCCGTCTATAAAAATCCAGGCTATAATGATTTCAGCTAAAATCTATAATTATCGTCGTGATTATCTCTAATAGCCACCCGATCTCAACAGCTCGGCGAAACGTTCGTTTTGACTATAATAATTATATTCTAACATTGTTTGATTTCTTCCTTTTCTTCGGCATTTATGCGATGATGACGTGCCAAATCCAACACTATCGATGACTTGCTGTAGCTCAAAGTTATGGAGCTTTTTATAACTTAATGCACAGTAAAAATTAATCAAAGGCGAATCAGTTGAATGATGATAAGTTAATGAAGTAAATTAAATAATGATTGTTCACAAAAAGTAGTAGTTCTCAGGCACGTATTCATAGAAACGCTACAAATTGTTAGATCATCAGTAAATTTACATCTGCAACAAAACGACATATACGGTAATAATGATACTTATTATATTCAATTTGTTTATCCTTGAACCCCGAATCGATGTAAAAGATGATAACTGTATCCATAATGTTGACAAATTTAGACCCATTTTAATTGCAAGTATTTTTTTGTTGAACCTAAGCTTTCTTCGCAGTTCTAGTAGACTTTTTAATTCATTATTCACATAAATCGTAATCGATTACCATAAAGCGGTATTCTAATATTGATTAAAGTTGTAATTTTAATAAATAAAACGCTCATTTCCTCCTAGTAATTGCTACGGAATAACCATCTAGAAACTCTTTATATACAAGGATATATCAAATTACAGTAGAGTGTCATTAAATTGATAACCCTTACTTCCACTCGATTCATTATGGATAATTGAAGGGGATAAAACGGAGAAGCGCTTTTTCCTAATTCAACGTTCGTCATTTCGAGACAAATTGTCCAGAAAAATAAATCGAGCTCCGCAAATCGAACAATTCGAGAATCAATAGTCCATCCTGGGATCACTTTGCTCGCTTTACTTCCAGAAGATGCGTTTCATCGTAGAACAAAGGGTAATTTTCCGTAAATTTCAATCGCGATATCACGTCAAAACCTAACTACCTAATTTAATTACGCCTAATTATATTTTAGGTAATAAATCATCCAAGTGAATTTGTACGCTAGGGGACAGGACATTGTCTCACTGAATCGTGCGACTGGATTTTACAACTTTAACAATTACCTCGGAAAGTTCACGCTTGAAGAAAACTAGCTATGTTTAATTGACTTATACCGAGAACTATTCGCAGCACTATCAGAGAAAATCGATTATCCTAGCAGACAAAAGCATTATCGTAGAAATCCAAATTGAGTGTTTAAGGAAAATTTTAATTATTTAATGAATGTCTACCCCTATTCGTAGTAAAGTTTTTGAAGAAGGTGTAACATCTACAACTTTGTAAATTAAATATTAATAATCAGAATTCAATAATAACTAAATTAACCAGTAGGTAATTGCTAGGTTGTATCGAAGTTTAAGAAGTTTTAGTACGAAATAAAACAACGTAATTAATTTTAGTAATTTTATTACTTGCTAGGATTCATTAATAAGCTACATTCTAAAACTATATTTTTCTTTGGTTCAAATCAATAATCGTCCATCTTAGCTAATGGAAAAATCAATAAATAATACATTAAAGTATACATATTCTTCAATATACAACAACTATTATAGTAATTACCGCTCGGAAAGCGTTCGTTTAAA